CCCCTTTCACAAGTTAAGTGTCAAAGCTGACAATGACCAACCTCGTTCCTAGAGTACTCTCTCTTGCTTCAAGAAAGAAAGATTGTTCTCTCGGAGCAAGAGATAGACCACTGGAAACGAAGTTGGACAATAACCGTTAAACTGATGACGTCACAAGTGGTAAAAGGGACGGGGTTACACACGCGCATCCTCTGGCGGCTGAAGGGTGTGCAGAAAGTTCACTCAATTTCTTTTTACTTGGCTCTGTGACCTTACCAGTAGTAGACAATACATTTGACCAATCAGGTCAGGACAATTATAAGTTGCTCGATAAATCTAACATAACGACTCACCTTGTGTTGAGTATCTATCATCATCGCGAACTCTTTGCTATCAGGAGTTAGTTTTGACTGATAATTCCAAAATGAACGAGCTCCAACAATGGCACTGGGCCAAATCTGAAAGTTCATTGTTCATTAGCATATATCGAAGTGTCCCAGTATAATTCTTCAATCAGGTCATCCCGACCTAACTTTTCCTGCATTTCCGTGATGCCGATGGTTACCCTTATACCGAGCTATTTTTCAATCCCGAACCTAGCACCCTTTTAGTTTTAAAATCCCGAGTCCCAGCCTTCAAATAAGAAAACTTTCGCATCCTGAAAAACCTATTAAAGACCATCTGTATCAGGGCCTGATTCAAAGGGACAGGCTGGCCAGGTTTGCCGCGCTGGCTCTCTTTAGCAAGCTCGATTAAATGTATTCCGGAATAATAATACATTGAATTAACTCTTTAAATCTCTTGTTTTAGTTTTCTTTAGATGGTTAAATATAGAAATCTGGTGGACACGTCATTCTGTGCACATTGCTGTTTTCAATGTGCACCGTTTTCTGTTGATTTTATCGACAATTGGCTGACTAAAGTGGTGGAGATAGTTTGTTCCAAAGAACCTCTCTAGCGTTTTAGTGCCTAGAACTTATCAGCAAGGATGAAAATGGACTGAAACTTGAAAAAGTTGGGCCAACTTTAATACGATTCCTGCAAAAGTCACTTGTCAGTTATTTCCATTCAGATCTTTTGTACCACTAATACTATCAAAAGATTTCAAGGGTCAATGGATTATTTTAAAGATTCACTCATGTTCGTCTTCCTATTTCATTAGGGGGATAAGCAAAGGCGTTTTTGAGTGACGCAATGTCAACCAGAAGTGAGCCTTTTCTCTTTTAATATGCCTTGAAGCTGCTAAATTTGTATTGCTAAGTGTCTTTACTCTTATAGAGACCATTTGTCTGAAGATTTGCAAACTCGTCGCTAGGGTCCTCTCGTTTTCAAAAACTTTAAAAGTTTAACTTTACGAGTCTTACAAGATCAAAAATTGTTAATTTGTCAAAATTGATATTATTTATTATACAGTCAAGTTCCTTCCTTGGTTACATATGAAATCCGCCGTCTGAAAGGGTTGTTTCTACTGAGCCTTTCTAGTCTAATAATGAAGGAGTACGTGGAATAAATAGAGGATATTATATGGCTGCAGGGAGATACGAAATTTCTCTTTGAATGTTGAAAAATATTTCACTCGTTCGCTGCGCCCACTCGTAAAATATTTTTTCAACATGAGAAGAGAAATTTCGTATCTCCAGGCGGCCATGTAATATTCTATTTATTATATAAACACTAATGAACTACCAAACCATTTCACTTTAATATTTTTTGGGTGTGAAAGGCGCGATTTAATATGAAGCCATAGCACAGTGATATTTTCACGGAAGATCTCAAGTTTTCGCTCAAAGCACACCTGGTATTTCATTGGTGTTTATATAATAATTATATAAGGCTCTAAGTGACTCTTGTTAAAAAAATTAAAATTGTTTATTGAGAAAATACAAACTATGGTAATATATGTTAATATAGAATTTAGCAGGCTATCAGAGGCTTTTGGGGCCTTTTCTCCACTCACACCTTCCATTGTTATTTATATACTCATTTTAAAGCATGTTAATGTCAATTAAATCATATCTAGTAAATAACCCGATGTATTTAATGCATGCTAATATATTTCTCCATTGTTTTGGGCACCACTCCTGAATAAGGAATTCCAAACTTTTTGAGAGCCCTAGCGCTGATGCACTTTAACTCCAGTTTTCTTTTCAGTGAAGAAAGAATCATGCGAGCTTCATCAGTTTGAGCGATGGCCATGGGTGTTTTACCATCATTGTTGACAAAATCATGATGGGCACCTCCATCGAACAAAACCTTCAACATGGTAGTGAAAATTTGTACCCATTCATTGCTCGGTTCTAAAGTAACAGCTAAGTGAAGTGGTGTATTTCCTTTGTTGTTGACAGCATTCACGTCACATCCTCCCGCCTCCAAAAGAAGCTTTAGTGCATCAAGTACTGGAAATGATGACCGAACATCGCGCATTTCATAAAAAACAACATCATGTAAGAGTGTATTTCCAAGTTCGTCACGAGGATCTTGCCTACAAAGTTTTCTTAGCAACACTAATGCTTTTGATGTGTTGGTCTCCCCCAGAAATCTAAATTTGGAAATGAATGAGATAAGCTTCACTGAAAGAAGAAACAGATCCCGCATAAGATCTGAATCAACAAAATCTCTTTTTATCTTCCAATTAAACTTATACTCTAAAACTGTTTGCTCAAGTATATCAAGAACATCCTTTTGTTCTGGATGACCATCCTTAGCCAATACAGTAAAAACCCGCGGGTAAGAACCTGAAAATTAAGCACCTGTTAGCCTAAAATATCCCATTTATAACCCCCTATAAACAAGAACCTGTTTAGCCTAGAAAATGAAAAAAGGGTTCTTATTTTTTTAAAGTCATATTAGTGAAATGCAGCTGCAAAGCTGTGCAAGAATCCTGTTTGGAGAATTAGGAGATTGGTATTGCTGTGCAAATAAAAGTGCTAATTTATTGATGTAATAAAAAAAGTAAAGTGCAAGAGGTTAATATTGTTGTATCGCATTTTGAAATTGAAAAACACGCAGATTACCATATCGTTTTGTAGCTTGTTTTTTTCGTTATTTTTTTACAGAAATAAGAACCTATTTAAGAACCTAAATAGCCTCAAATTGTGTTAACTACTATTTAAATAAGAACCTGTTTAGGCTAACTCCAGAAAATGTAGGTTCTTACTCGCGGGTTTTTACTGTAGATTATACATGTGGGAAGTCATGAAATGAAAATCAGAAGCGGATGATACATTTGAGCTCTGTGCTATTTTCATTGCACGTCTACGTAATCTGATACTCGCCGACAGATCACTGTTCCTGAGGTAAGAAGAAGCAACATGACTAATTTGATAAAGTAGTTGAAGTTCTGCATTTTCTTTTCCAAGAATTCTTTCCCTAATATAAAGACTTTCCGGCACCTACAACTCCTTCTATCTGAGCAAGTGCGTCCAGAGTTTGACACTCGTTTCTGTTCTGATAAGCTTTGACAGGTTCCATTTGCTTTTTTAACAAAGGTTGAGATGGATTGGCAAACCTCTCCTCAATGCCATTCTTGATGTATTCAAATCCTCTCTCAATACCAGGATCACATTTAGTGATGATAGAAGCACCAAGAAGCTCTAGGGCTTCAATTTTCTGCTCTTTTGTTATCTCTGGTCTCTGAATTAAACACTTCACTTTTTCGCTATTTCTCCTGTTGCTGGCTTGGAGAAGTGGTGTTAATCCATGCTTGTTACAAACTGGTATTAAGTGCAGTGCTCCAAGATCTAACAAAGTGTCAACAGCGCCAGCATTGACAGCATAGTGAAGGGCATTGTCACCATTTTCGATCCCGTTCTATTACTAAATCAGCCTAATATCTTTTTGAAACCGCTCTCCGGAGTGGTTTAAGGCCTCAGTCTACACGAATCGGGGTAAAAAGTTATGCAGTTTCAAAAATTAGTCTGGATTCGTGTGTACGTGGCCTAAAACAGTTCAAGGTAGCTTTTGCTGAATCCAGTCTAGAATGTCCTTGTAAACCACGCTCGCAGTTTCTTCCACCTCATTCAAAAGTTCATGGCGCCCATTCTTTTATATCTGCAAAGCAAGTTTTACAAGCAGTTGTGTTAATAATGAAATAATAATAGGTAGATTTAGAAATGATAACGCGACGAAAAATTGGCCAAAGTGGGAAAACAACGACAATGATAGTCGCCATACTATTCTTTAGATTTCCGTTTGGAGACGAGAATTTTGATGAAGGATAGAAACATTTCCTCTTTAGTGATTATTTTATAAATTCTCTGAACCTTTTTTCTTAAAAATGTGTTGAAATTGTCAGGAGAAACTTGATATTGGTCCCTCTTGGTGCTAAAAGGGTTGAGAAAAATACCGAGTGTTGTTCTGATAAGTTCACAATGATTACGCTTAGAACATCCTCGGAGACCCAGGGGCAGCTAGGCGGGACGATAGAATCGTCATAGGCAATCAATGGAATAGTGCTTCAGGCATGGAATAATATTAAATAATTTCTTATTAGTTATTTGCTCAAAAGGGCACCTGCTCTAATGAAGCCATAATTGGAAACAAAACATTGACACAAAAAGCTACGTCTCCCTGTCCTCTCACTATCAACATTTTCAATTTATTTATTGTTCTCAGACATTCTAGTGATCAGTGTTATAGCGATACTCAAGCTGACGTCACCTATTGATATTTATGTGCTAACTAGAAGCGCATAAGTTCTTGAAACAAAAGATTCTATTGTTTAACGTGTTACAAATTTGAACACAAAAACAACATTTGTAGCAGTGATGTCTCCTATTATTAATACTGTTACTACTGTCGACGTGTATCAGACTACGCAGACGTGCAACGAAAATAGCACAGAGCTCAAATGTATCATCCGCTTCTAATTTTCATTTTATGACTTCCTACATGTTTAATCTATTAGCTAATGGTCATCCAGAACAAAAGGATGTTCTTGATATACTTGAGCAAACAGTTTTAGAGTATAAGTTTAATTGGAAGATAAAAAGAGATTTTGTTGATTCAGATCTTTTGCAACGTCTGTTTCTTCTTTCAGTGAAGCTTATCTCATTTATTTCCAAATTTAGATTTCTGGGGGAGACCAACACATCAAAAGCATTAGTGTTGCTAAGACAACTTTGTAGGCAAGATCCTCGTGACAGAGTTGGAAATACACTCTTACATTTTGTTGTATTTTATAAAATGCGCAATGTTTCATCGTCATTTCCAGTACTTGATGCACTGAAGCTTCTTTTGGAGGCAGGATGTGACGTGAATGCTGTCAACAACGAAGGAAATACGCCACTTCACTTAGCTGTTACTTTAAAACCCAGCAATGAAAGGGTGCATATTTTCACTAACATGTTGAAGGTTTTGTTCGATGGAGGTGCTCATCATGATTTTGTCAACAATGATGGTGAAACACCCATGGCCATCGCTCAAACTGATGAAGCTCGAATGATTCTTTCTTCAGAGAAAAGAAAACTGGACTTAAAGTGCATCAGCGCTGGGGCTGTCAAAAAGTTTGGAATTCCTTATTCAGGGGTGGTGCCCAAAACACTGGAGAAATATATTAGGATGCATTAAATACATCAGGTTATTTACTAGATATGATTTAATTGACATTGACATGCTTGAAACTGAGTATAAATAACAATGGAAGGTGTACGTGCGTGGAGAAAAGGCCCAAAAAGCCTCTGATAGTCTGCTAAATTCTATATTAACATATATTACCATAGTTTGTATTTTCTCAATAAACAATTTTAATTTTTTAAATAAGAGTCACTTAGAGCCTATTTTTATATAAACACCAACCAAATACCAGGTGAGTTTTTGTGCGAAAACTTGATATCTTCACATGTGAAAATATCACCGTTGCTATGGCTACATAATAAATTGTGCCTTTCACACCAAGAAAATATTAAAGTGAAATAGTTTGGTAGTTCATTGGTGTTAATTTTATATAATAAATAGAACATTACATGGCCGCTTGGAGATACCAAATTTCTCTTCTCGTGTTGAAAAAATATTGCGCGAACAAGTGAAAATATTTTTCAACATTCAAAGAGAAATTTCGTATCTCCGTGCAGCCATATAATATCCTCTATTTATTCCACATACTTCTTCATTATTAAATAATTTCTTATTAGTAATTTACTCAAAAGGGCACCTGCTCTAATGAAGCCACAATTGGAAACAAAACATTGACACCAAAAGCTACGTCTCCCTGTCCTCTCACTATCAACATTTTCAATTTATTTGTTGTTCTCAGACATTCTAGTGATCAGTGTTAATAGCAATACTCAAGCTGACATCACCTATTGATATAATATGTGCTAACCAAAAGCGCGTTATAGGTTCTTGAAACAAAAGATTCTATTGTTTAACGTGTTACAATTTTGAAAGACAAATTAAACAACGTTTGTAGCAGTGATGTCTCCTATTATTAATACTGTTACTACAACTACAACTTTAAGCAGTGCAGACCTAATGAAATTAATAATATTTCGATTCTCTGTATCACTAAAGCTCAGTCTGAGTCAAATAGAAAATATTTCTGTTATATTAATAAGTATGAAGGGACAAAACAACACAATGATTTAGAGGGAGCCACCAACAATCGAGTTCATTACACCAGTGATAGTTACAACAAAAACAAGGAAAATATGCGCAAATACGGATACAGAGCCCTAAGAAAGGCTAGATTAAAGATACATCATAAGTGCTGACAAGACATGCGGAACAAAAAATTAACAAACTAAACAGAGTCTGATCATTTTAAAAAAGAGATGTGAAAAAACAAGTACAAATTATGTGTAGGTAATTCTACAAAACTCATACATAAGAAAACGAAAAAAAGCAGCCCCGAGTGAACTGGTCAATGTCATGTGGTGTGAAGTTCACAAGGAGTGGTTTATAAAAAAGGATCTAGTGGTCCCAATGGGAATTGAACAAGAAATACATTTGTACACATTTTTTTATGTTCTTCTTTCCTTTATTATTGTTAAGGTCTTTAACACGCTGGCTTTCCAGACAAAGCCCAGTAAAACTAATGGCAAAATTTGGTTGTCTTTTTTACCTTTAGTTTTCTATTTGAGTATCATTTTTTTGTAAACATTAATTTTGTTAGCCTGAGAAAACAGCTGACATTTGGTGACACAGTACCACTGACATCTGAGAAACGAGCGCAGAAATTCCATACTGATGACGTGTCAGTAACCAGATCTGGGTAGTGCTTCTGATTGGTTGAATCAAATTTCCCACGTGGCACTACCAATTAGAAGCACTACCCAGATCTCAGTAGAAACGCGTCGTCAGTGTGGAATTTCTGTGTTCCTTTCTCAGACATCATTTGGCGGGGAAACCAGTTGTAGCGTCGTCCAAATGTCGGCTGTTTTCTCAGGCTATAATTTTGTACTAGTGTGCAGTATTGTGAACAATAATAAAATTATTATCTGCAGAGGTGGGTGAAAAAAACCCTTGGGCTGGATGTTCAAACATTGGATAGTGCTATTCACTGGATAAATCAACTATCCAGCCAGTTGATAGAAGGGAAACCAGTAGCAAAATTTGCATTGCACTTCAAACAACTGAGGCCTAATTACTAGTAATTTCTAATGAACTGGCCCAAGTTGTTCAGAAGCTGGACTTTATAACTCTATCCACTGGATAAATCTCTAGGGATTTATATCTGCTCGTATGGATTCGTATGGATTTATTGAGTTATTCGATGGATAATGTGACTGGTTTCTATACCTGCCAACTTTTTCCGAGATGTAGGCGTGAGATTTTTATCCTGGGAGTGCTGGGATTTTTGAAAACGACACGATCATTTCCGAAGATTCCCAAAGAAGTCCGAAGTCCTCCGAAGACGTCCGAAGTCTGCCGAAGCCGAAGTTATCGAGAAAACGCTTATCCACAAAATCAGAGATCGCGAGGAAGGTATTGTCATTTATTCATTTTACACATGGTTTTCGTTCCTTACATGGGTCTGAGTTAACATATTTTTGGAAATTGTGTCAAGCAAGACGGCAACAACTCACATTTTTCAATCAGGCGTGAGAAATTGGTCCGCAGGCGTGAGCGGGCGTGAGATCGAAGTTTTCAACCCGCAGGCGTGAGACTCACGCCTAAGGCGTGAGAGTTGGCAGGTATAGGTTTCCCTAACACTATCTGCTGGATAGTGATTTATGCAGTGGATATAGTGCTACCAAATATTTGAACAAATGGGGCCTGATACATAATTTCTCCTTCCTTTTTCAGTGTTTGTTCATGATACAAATAAAGAATTTGAGTTAGCATCAAGACTGGGCCTAATTCTTTAGACACCTTAGCCACTCTGTTTGTATCTTTGAAAGGGGGATAATATATTTAGCCAAGGCTAAAAGTAAAGCTCTAAATTAAGCACTAATAATGTACTTCAAACAATAAACTTGAATTAACTACTGTTGTAAAGAAATTTGATCATGATAGGACCTGAGCCTGCGATTAATTGAAACTAATAATACAAAAAACTTCAAATTTTGTTTTGAACATTTGAACCTGCAATGTGGTCATGTTATGCACAGGACGTTTGGACTCCTGGCTAGTAAGTGTGACATTTCACATTGCCTTACATGCAGGTGGATGTGCGTACAAACATATGATTACATCATTAACCACAGGCGGACCATCCAAACTGTTTGAGGGATCGTGATGTCACATGCGATATGTGATTCCATAAATTTACTGTATTTTGTAATGCCTGCACTTATTCAAGAGATCAGTAGGAATGCTTCGTAAAATATAGAATTTTGCACCTTTTAATTTGATCCCAAATGTTGATATGATGTAAGAAAAATGAATAAAGATCAGTTACTGCACGTTTTTAGCGTCGTGTTCTGCAATTAATCTGTCAGGGGTGTCAGCTTCAAGCGACTCAAAATGCCACAAAAATGCAGAACACGACGGTACACTAGAAACATACGGTAAGTTATCTTTATTCATTTTTCTTACATCATCAACATTGGGATCAAAAGGTGCAAACTTCTGTGTTTTATGAAGCATTTCTACCGATCACTTGAATCAAGCCGAGTGCGGGCGTTACAAAATAGAGAAAATGTATGGGATCACATATCGTGCGTGACATCATGATGCCTTGAACAGTTTGGATGGTTGGCCTGTGCATTAACACGAGGGCTCCAGACTCTCAAAAGCCTACTTGAAGCCAAATTATAAGGGTTGTATGGGAATTTACCATCAAAAATACATTATATAAACAGCCCGGGGAGTTACTTGGGCTAATTTTTGCAGGGTGTGTGCTGCTGGCCTCTCAATATAGTCTATTCTGTGCCCAAATATAGAGCAAATCTTAGTCACTGTTGGGAAAGTAATTTTCGTGATTCCAACTTAGTAACTTTCTGTTTATGCATCTACCTTATAAAGCCTTTAAACTAGGTCATCCTGAAGTGAATGACTCATTGTTCAAACTTAATGAAGTAAAAATCAATGTTTCCATTTTTAAATCCGTACCTACCTGAATTTTCTTATCCCCCAAATCCCGAAAATGTCATACCATCCCATTCTAGTAACTCTGATGGCCTGATGAAAATGCAGCCCCATTATAGTCAATCCTGTCGTGAAAATGCAACCCCATCCAGCGGGACATCCCCATTAGCCTACTACTAGGAAGTACCCCCCCCCCCCCCTCCCCGGGAAAAACAGTCGTTATGGTGTACATACCTCATAAAGACATGTCCCTGTTCAAAACTTGCTAAACTGACGTTTATAGAACATGTTTTTATGAGGTATGTACACTTTAATGACTCTATATGTGCATTTTAACCGTTTTACTGATCTTACGATAACTTCCCATACAAATCCTTACAATTTGGCTTTGAGTAGGATGTGTTGTGTCTGGGTAGCCTGTGGTCATAACCATAATTCCTTGGGACATAACTTTGTGCACAAAAGAACGGCGCCAAAATGAATTGACTGGACTTAAAATAGAGAGTTTCAGTTTACATGAAGAATCACACTGGACCTCATTCCGTGCTTTCATCTGCTTATGTTCATGCACAGGAGGATAACACGACTTCCAAAACAGCTAATACAAAAATTAAACGAAACTGTGCTACGTAATTATCTTGTGAATGTCAAAGTGTTTAAAATCTGTTTCGGATTCCGATTGTGATTACAGCTAGGAGATACTCTTAGAGTTGTTTATTTACCGTAGCATGGTGAGCTGTACTTCAAACTGCACTTGTGACCTTTGACCTGCGATCTTTGTTTTCAAAGGAATGCACTCAATGTAACGTCTGGTTTTCCTCCTTTTTCAACGCGTATCTTCCAAGATAACTCCCGCACAGAATGGAGACCTCATTAGCGTTAAAGAACTGTTAAGTAGCAACTTCAGAATACCCTTTTGCCATCCCCCCTGAAATTATGCGGCCTTGGAGTCCTGGGACTGTGTTGCTACGTTCTGTGTTGCATACATGACAAACCATTCCCTAAGCCCTCTGTGATTCTTTTTAAGGAGTTGCTCTTTGAGTCCTCGGTATGGCCGACGACCGAGCAGAAGAAATCTTTGAAGCCATCACGACTAGAAATTCTGTTTTACTGGATGACGTGCTCAAAAAAATGACCAGTACTGAAAGAGCCAACGTGTTAACTTCGGATCAGTATGGCTCTGGTGAAGTCCTCGATGAAGACAGCGAAGAGGATGAAGACGGAACAGAGTCTCTGTTAGTAACTGCTGTGCGCAATGGAGATCTTGATAGCGTTAAAATGCTTTTGAAGTACAAGGCAGACGTTGAAGTTCGAGAAAAGTACCTAAGAGACAATTGGTCTTCAATTACTCGCGCGTCACTGTTTTGGGCCGCTGATTTTGGCTACATTGATATTTTAAGGTGCTTGATTGAAAATGGAGCTGATATAAATTCATTTTCAGCTGATAATTGTAACTGCACCCCTCTCATGAAAGCAGTCGAAAATGGTGACAAAGATGTAGTGACCTTTCTTATTGATCATGGAGCAAACGTGACCATAAAAGATAAATGCGGTTATACAGCTCTTCACAGGGCGTGTATTATTTATCATGACTGCTCACCCGAGGTTTTGAGTTGTTTGATTGAAAATGGAGCCGATGTTAATCTAAGCACAGATAGCAACCGCACCCCTCTCATGACAGCTTGTGAGTATGGTCATGTAAATACCGTGACCATTCTCATTGAACATGGAGCTAATGTGAATCTTCAAGACAGGGATGGACTAACAGCTGTTCACTATGCTGTGCGTGGATCTCAAGCATGTGAGATTTTGAGTTGTTTGATGGAAAATGGAGCTGATGTTGATGCAAAAACATTTGATGACTGCACTCCTCTGATGATAGCAGCTGAAAGGGGGGACACAAAAGTAGCCACCTTTCTCATCGAACATGGAGCTAATGTAGATCTTCCAGATAAAATAGGTGCTACAGCTCTTTGCTATGCTCTCAAATGTCCTGGTAACTTGTGTGAAGTAGGGAGTTGTTTGATTGAAAATGGAGCTGACATCAATGCATGTATAAATTACAACTGCTGCACTCCTTTGATGATGGCATGTGAAAAGACTGTGAATGATCAACTGAATGCACTGACCTTTCTCATTGAACATGGAGCTATAGTGAATCTTCAAGACATACATGGAAGTACAGCTCTTCACTATGTGGTACAAGAAAACTCAGGTTTCCATGAACCATATGAAGTTTTAGATTATCTTATTCAAAATGGAGCTGATATTAATGCACAATCAAATCACGGTCGTACACCTCTGATGAGGGCAATTGACTTGTCTGAAGAAGACACAGCAAGCTTTCTTATTAAACAAGGTGCTAACTTGGATCTTCAGGACAAAAATGGTGACACAGCTTTTCATTATGCTATGCGTAGTAATTCTGTTGAGATTACTGACAGTATTTTGACTCTGGGAGCATCCTGTATGTGCAACAACCGGGGACTAACCCCTCTTCTTGTAGCCAGTAGTATTGGAAAAAGTGAGGTGGTGGTGGATTTCATCAAGAGACCAGAGGTAACAAAAGAGCAAAGAATTGAAGCCCTAGAGCTGTTAGGTGCATCTGTTATTACTAGTAGTAGTGACTTTCAGCTTGAGATGGGATTCAAGTACATCAAACGTGGCATGGAAGAGCGGTTTGCCAATCCATCTCAACCTTTGGTAAAACCATCAATGGAACCTGTGGAAGCTTATCAGAAGAGAAAAGAGAGTCAAACACTAGAGGAACTTGCTCTGATTGAGGATGATTTTGATGCCCTATTGATGGAAAGTCTTAATATAAGAGAAAGAATCCTTGGGAAGGAAAATGCAGAACTGCTTTATCAAATTAGAGATGTTGCCTCTTTTTACCTCATGAACGATGACCTGTCCACATGTATCAGATTACGTAGACATGCAATAAAAATAGCACAGAGCTCAAATGTATCATCTGCATGCGATTTGTGTTTCATAAGTGACAATTTGTTCGAAAGGAATCGTCATCCACAACAAAAGGAAGTTATTGAATTACTTGAGCAAACAGTTCTTGAGTATAAGAAACAAAACACTGGAAAGATAAGAAGGAATACTTATGATCTTGAGGATCTGTTTCTCTGTTTAAAAAATCTGATCTCAATAATTTCCATAAATGGATTTTGTGGGGAGAGCAACACATCACATGCATCAATTTTGCTGCGAGAACTTTGTAGACAAGATCCTCGAGACAGATTTGGAAATACTTTCTTACATTTTGTTGTTAGGCATCACATACATGATAATTCATTTCCATTACTTGATGTATTAAAGCTTCTTTTGAATGTAGGATTTGACGTAAATGCTGTCAATGACAAAGGAGATACACCACTTCACTTAGCCGTCACTTTAAAAGCCAAGCAGAACAAGTTTTGTCTTTTGACTGGTGTTATGGAGACCATGTTTAATGGAGGTGCTCATCATGATTTTGTCAACAGTGATGGTAAAACACCCATGGACATGGCTAAAACTGATGTAGCTCGCATGATTCTTTCTGAGAAAAGAAAACTGGAGTTAAAGTGTATCAGCGCCAGAGCTGTTAAAAAGTTTGGAATTCCTTATTTGGGGGTGGTACCCAAAACACTGGAGAAATACATTAGCATGCATTAAAGTGCATAATTTACGTTGAAATAATTTTTGAAATTGACGTTGACATGCTGTAATGTGGGTATTGAGAATAATTCAGCCAAGGTTCTTTAAAGAGGTCTGTTTGCAGATAGAGAGAAGGGGCATTGTAGGGAGGTAGCCACTATGAGGGGTAGCCTAGGGATGTAATATGACACCATTCAGGAAAGCCGGGTAAAACATTTTAAATATATTGTTTTTTAAAAAATACTTATAATAGCATATCAGTTTGAAAGATTATCAGAATATACCCATAAAGTGGAAACTAAAATATTGCTCAGGACAAAAATATTAACAAAAGAAAGGGAATAATTTTTCAAGACTGCAAAAAATTTCCTACTTTGTTTGCTTTCAGGGAAATGGCAGTTGCAGAAGGGTTATTTTAGTAGTTGGGATGGAATTTAGTGGTTTTTGCCATCATGGAGAAGTGACGAACAACCTTCTCCAGTTCCTTGGCACTTCGTTAAATTGAGGTTCCACTGAGGCTTGAAAAAAGTAACCAACTGTATCAAAAAGAGGCTTTTACTCCCCTTCTTCTAGAAGGGTCTGAGAGCGTGCGCCCCTTGAAAATTTCGAAATTTCAATGCCCTGAATTGTGATTTCCAGCTTTCTAGGCACTAAATTGAGTACAAAAGATAATGTATTTTCAATCAGTTTGGACAAGTAATGCATATCAAGTGCCAATTTTTTTTAAAATTTTTGGAATCTGAAGCAAAAAGTCTCTCTAGGTTTTAATTCTATAAGTTTTGACGGAATCTCTCTTTAATCTAATACTTTATTTTCAGCTTCCAATTTAGGGGAAAAACAAAGCCACCTTCTCTGAGCAAAGTAGCCGACGTGTTTTGTAGGTCGTCGGTGCCTATCCACCGTACCTAAAAAGATGGTGACTGGTACATTTACCCACAGTTCTTAGCACATGAAAACCATAAAATAGCTCGTAAAGACACACAGTCTAAAAGTTTTATAAACTTCAAACCTAGGATAGGCAATGTTGCTATTAAAGGGACAAATTCCCCCCCCCCCCCACCAAATATGACTTTATGTGTAATTGACCATGTTAGGTTCAAAAAGATTGTGCAGGAATATTATATACAAGTATTGCCCTTTCCTGAATTATTTGACAGTGATCGCAAAGTGTACTTATGGGGTTGTAGAAGAAATCAGACTCTTCCAGGTATAACTGCCTTTTTTTCCAAGGGTAACTATGAAGCGGAAAAGTCCATATGCGTTAAAACAAATAAAAATATTAATGGACAATGGACTTGGAGGGGGAGGAAAAGTTTCGGGATTTCAGCTGACAGGAATGATTGACCTGGATGATTGAAGGATTTTTTTGGGTTCGAAATTTTCCAATTCCAGGACTTTTTTGGGTTGGTAAATTTGGCAACTATTTTTTGGGGTGGTTTGATTTTTTTGGGTATTGAAAACAATCTGAAGATTCGTGGTATTTTTCCCCCCATTCGATCATCCCTGTCACTTGACAGATTCCCTCCCCCCTACCCCCAGGCTACAGAAAATTTATGGAATCGTGATTGATTTAATTTTTTTTAAAAAAGAGATAATGCTAATTTTTAAATAAAAGTTAACTTACTGATTACTGTCTTGATGTTGTTTTCCTTATATTTTACTCACATTTAAGCCGATCTTGACGATTTACCATCTCCATTGGTTCCACTTGTGGTAAATCGTTGAGATCGGCTAAAACGGGGCCACCTGTGGAGGAACTGGCCATTTTTCGTTCCACTCGATAAAATGTGTCATATAAGCCAACATAGCCTGTGAGCAAGCTCTCCGGAGTGTTCTGGTGGCGGGGTGGAAAATGGAAGGAGAGCTTGCAACTACGTCTCCGGAATTTGAATATCTGCATCGAAAAAGTGCATGCGAAATGCTGATTGGCGGAGATGACATTAGTAGTGACATCATTACCCTTGGCAGGTGTTTCTCAATGTTAGTTCACTTTCGCGCTCATTTCCACTTCGTGCTGATTGGCGGAAATCTGACAGCTAAGTCAGTGGGGAGCCATAGGGAAATTAGAGGGGGAATTCAAATTCCAGAGTTGTAGTTGCAAGCTCTCGTTCCTGTTCCTGCCCCGGAGAACTTGCTCACAGGCTAAAGCCCACATAGAGTCACCTCGGTCACATTTTTCTGGAAAAAAGTGTTCTTGGAGGATTTTTATTCACATAGTATTTGAAGAGTTACAGGTTCCCTTTTTCTCCTTCCTCAATAATTTGGCAACACCATTGGACAAATTAAAATAGACATTTTTTTTTTCTTTTTTGTGCGTGATTGGTATCAACCACCCCCTATTACAAAACCTGGATCCGCCCATAAAGCTACATCCCAGGAAATTCACTTAATTACAATTTTCCCCAGAGGAGGACTCCCGAAATGGGAGGGACGGAACACAAATAATTAGGCTTAAAGTGGGTTTTAGTAGATGCCTGTTCATTCTAACAAAACAAAATCATATATTATTAATACTTTTCTTGCAGAAGGAAATAATATGTTAATTGAAATGATTAATATTAATCTCTACAATAAAAACATTAATGGTTATGAAATAATTATTATCAAAGTTAACTTATACTTAAATTCAGCTAGTCATTCACATAGCACAAAAATGCTGATGGAGAGCAAGAAATTTCCTGGGAGCAGCTCCAGGCTTTTTTGCACATATGACCATATGCCTTGAAAGAATGGAATATGTTCTCTTGCCTTTTCCAGACTGAAAGTGTGGAAAATTTTCTCTTGGCATTTCCAGGCTTTTCTAGGTTCCTGGAAAAGTAAGAGAGCCTAGACACTCCTGTCTTCCCTTCGCTTTTTCCTGGATTTTCCGCATGCGCAAAAAAGGCCGGAAACCCAGGAAATGCTCCTTTAGCAGTAGAGAAGACAAAAAAAGGAAATTACCATTTTAAATGATGTGGGCTCTGTGTTTTTCCTTTCCCAGTAAATCTCAAATTATTGCTCTTCTGCACAGCAGACACCAGTTAATACATTTCCTCTAAAAAAACCCTCCATAATACGGACCCTCTCTAAGACGGACAAAGGACACAAAATCTCGACCCTTGGGAGCAAATTCATACAAACGGGGGCACCCAACATCAATTTTTGGAAAATATCTATTCGGAAGATGATCTGAGATCTAGAATTTTCGGAACATTTGTTGTAAAATTTCTTGCTTGCCTGCCTCTCCTAGGATTTTTGAACATCTAAAAGTGGTATAATTGCCCATTTTTAATGGACTTTTACCCTAAAAAGGTCACCTAGAACTTTCGGGAGCCTTTTTTCCGGCTAAAATTTTCGAAAAGGTAAGTTTTAATCGATCGAATTTTTGGATCACTAGACTCTCAGCTAGGGAATCCGAACAGATGAAAAAATTTTAGGGGATAAAAATATGCCTATATCTACTGTTTAAATACAAGAATACGTTTAATGATACTATGTTTAAGCGGTTTTGAACTATATTCTTGTTGGGTGCCCCTGTACAAACTTTACCTCCTTATTATGGACACTCTGGGGACCAGGTGTCGATAATTTGCGGCACGTACCATTTCCCGTCGGCGGTTACACAAACATTGACACTTAAATCAGTCAGCGATACCAATACCAGAACATGTCAAAACTCAAATTTATAATAATGCAAATGCAGTAATCGAAAATATTGTGGCAATAGCCAATTCAATACATATTCTGTATGCAGTGCTGTTCTATACAACTGTAACCACTGATGATTAGAACCGAAAGGCTTAATTCAAACTGTCCCATTGTCCATTCAATGAATAGCATCAATGACCATCAGTGGGGACTTAAAAATGACATCATCATTGTGACCTCTCTAATATGGACACTTCGCTCTGTCCCGTCGGTGTCCGTATTAGAGAGGTTCGACTGTAGGTATGTGCTGCCCCAAAGGGTATGATTTTTGGGCCTTTTTGGTCTAAACTGGTATACATTTTGCCCATTTTGGTCTGGAATTGGGGATGGATTTTGAGGAAACTACGGGAGTGGATGTATGTATATTTGTTGTTTCAGTTCCAAATGAATACTGAGAAAGAAAGAGCAATATACAATTTCAAAGTAGATTTTAAGACATCTTTCATTTGGTGTTCTAATCTCAGTAATGATGACATATTTAATTCTTAGAGACCAGGTCTGAAATAGGTATGGATTTTAGAGGCCTGGTCCGAAAACGTGTGCGGAAAATGACATGTTTTGGTCTGAAATAGGGTCAGGATTTGGAGATGAAACAGGTGGCACACCCCCACCAAGAATTCCTAGGAGTACCTGCTGGGATTTTTTTACCTCGTCTTTCCTCCTCTCATGCGCACACATCCTCGAGATTTCTCCCTTCGCTATAAAAATAGGCCCCTGCTACACAAGCTATCGACAAAGGGCCTATTTCTTCCTATTAAACTAATAAGCTACTAAAACTGTGAATGGTTTGAACCCAGAAGTCAGTCATTTCATAAGTAGGTTGAGTATGATCAGCTGGGTGAACATAGTCCTACATAGGACTGTTGTGACTGACGTTTCGACAACCTGTGCGCTGGTCATCTTCAGAGTCAAAGTGTCAGTCACTGTCAACAACTTAACAACAGTCCTATTCAGGATTGTGTTCACCCAGACGATCAAACTCAACCTGCTTATGTAATGAGCTACTGATGTTTTTAACTAGTTTGTGTTTCATTTCAGTTATTAAGCAATTCTACACATTTCTACCTACAATTTTTGCTTTTAACACCTTATTATGACCCCTGTACCATTAACATCTTATTATGTCACCAGTTTTGATACACAACTATGCTTTTCACAGATTATCTGGCGAGAGAAAGAGATGTTTGCCTGTTTGGAACCATATCCAAGCAGGCAACATTAAATATAGGACAGAAAAACACATAAAAAATAATGTGAGGTAGCCTGCGAAAACAGCGGACATTTCACAGCAATACGACTGGTTTCCCCGAGAAATGATGCCTGAGAAACAAGCACTGAAATTGGTCCAAAAACATTTTTATTGCACTACCCATCTGTATCCTTTTTTTGCAAAAATTTTCAACCCAATATGAAGTCTAAATAAATGAAAAGGAAAATAAAGAACAACAACATAAGAAAAGAAAAGCAAAAGCTGCAGTGAGGATAGAAAATACCGAAACTTTACCTTATATTAAGTGGGCATGTGCAAAACTTTAAATGTGGCTAAACGTAATTTAGGCTAAGTTAAACGCGAGACAGTGCTGGCCAGCGGTCTCCTTCACTAATCGTATTTGGGGTGGTCTCGGGGTTTAGCAGGACCTTAGTGATTTTACAGTGCTTTCGCAGGAGTCAATCATTTTGCTGTCGTTGCTTTTGCGTGCGGTAATTTTAGTTGTTTTTTCCCCCAACCCTCCCTCCTCTTTGGACTGTTTTGGTAAGTATCTGCACCTCTCGCCACTGAGGTTCTCAGTGTGACGGTGCCTGGTGGGTGCCGCTCTCAGGGTTGTCATGGTTACCCTCTATTAAAGATCGCTTGCGGCCCCCTACCGCTTCCTCAGGCACCTTCCCCACACCCATCTATTGTTTAAGGGTTTAAAAGCTGTAAATTAGCATGCACAGAGTAGTGCTTGACTTTTTAGAAACTTTTGGATAGGTTTGGTTCTATACAGTTCTAGTGCAACAGTTATTCTGTTGAAAGGACTCAACTGGAAATATGCATGTTAATGTATTTCTCTAGTGTTTTGGGTACCACCCCCAAATAAGGAATTCCAAACATTCTCACTGCTCTGGCACTGATACATCGTAATTCCAGGTTTCTACTGTCTGAAAGAGTCATGCGAGCTTCATCAGTTTTAGCCATCTCCATGGGTGTTCTACCGTCATTGTTGACAAAATCATGATGAGCACCTCCATCAATTAAAACTTGCAGGATTTCAGCCACAAAACAAATTTTACCACCTCTGGGTTTAAAATTGGCAGCTATGTGAAGGGGAGTGTTTCCTTTTTTGTTCTTGGCATTTACATTGAAGCCTGCACTCAGAAGAAGTTTCACTGCATCCAAACAGGAATATTCTTCGTTATCCATGTGGCATTCAATGACCTTATGTAAGAGCGTGTTTCCCGATCTATCTTGAGGATCTTTCCTAAACAGTTGTTTTAGCAGTGTTGACAGATTAGACCTCTTGCTCTCCCCATGAAATTCAACTTTGGAAATAAACAATACCACTTTCACTGATATATCAAAAAGTCTTGACAGTGAATTTGGCTTCTTCACATTACGCTGTGTTTCATAGTCAAGAAGTATTAACTCAAACAATTCAATGAGATGATTCTTTACTTTTGGTAGACCACTTCTCTTAAACTCTTCATGTAATAGTCTACTCATGTTGTCTAACTGAAAATCAGCAGATTGCTTGGAGCTCTGTGCTATTTTCACAGCATGTCTGTACAATGCTAGGCATGTCGAGAAATTTCTGTTCGCATGGAAATAACATCCAGCAGCGGCAGTAACAAAGCGTAATGACTCACTTTCATTTCCAATAATTCTTTCTCTTATAACAATACTTTCTATGACCATAGTATCCAAATCTCCTTCTATCTGAGCAAGTTCCTCAAGACTTTGACACTCTTTTCTGTTCTGATAAGCTTTGACAGCCTGTTCTGTTGATTGTTTTAACATAGGTTCGGAGAGATTAGAAAACCTTTCTTCCATGCCACGCTTGATATACTTCAATCCTTTCTCATAGCTTCTTTCAAAACCTGCAGCATGCAGAATAACCAAAGAGGAACCTAGAAGCTCTAGGGCATTGATTCTTTGTTCTTTTGTTATCTCTGGTCTTTTGATTAAATACTCCACTACTGAGACATTTCCTCTGTCGCTGACTAGAAGAAGAGGTGTCAATCCCTGGTTGTTACAAATGTGAGATGCTTCGCCGGTCACAAGATGGTCAATTATATCACAAAAATTCGTAACACTGACAGCATGGTGAAGAGCTGTATTACCATTTTTGTCTTGGAGATCAATGCTAGCTCCATGCTCAATGAGATAAGTAACTACATGTATGAGTTGATTATGAATTGCCTTCATCAGAGGAGTACAGCCACGATTAGAAAAAGCATCAAAATTGGCCCCATTTTCAATCAAACAACTCAAAACCTCACACGAAACATCAGAGCCATCTACGGCATAGTGAAGAGCTGTTTCACCTTCTTTGTCTTGAAGATTCACATTAGCTCCATGTTTAATGAGAAAGGTCATTGCGTCCAATTGACCATATCTACTTGCTATCATCAGAGGGGTACGGCCGTTTTGGGGGCTCTTTTTATTGTAACAACCATTTACATCAGCTCCACGTTCAATCAAGCAACTACAAACTTCAAGTCGGTCATGATGATGGTAATACATGGCATGGTGAAGAGCTGTACAACCACGGTCATCTTTAATATCCACCTTAGCTCCACGTTCAACGAGATAGGTTGCTACATTAAGGTGCCCCATTTTAATCGCTATCATAAGAGGGGTGCAGTGATCATCTGAGCATGCATTAATATCAGCTCCATTTTCGACCAAGTACCTCAAAATATCAAGGTGACCGTATGCAGCCGCTAAAAACGATGGAGTGCAACATGTGTAGGTAAACCAGTTAGAACCATCAAGATAAATGCTATTGTCGTAGATACTGGACAAGTCTCTCGTGAGCCTCTGGCATTTTCCTCCAACTTCAATATCCGCTTTGTACTTCAGAAGCACATTAACAATGTCAAGACTCCCTCTCTCAACAGCATATACCAACGGAGGATTCCCCAAATCTCCATATTGATTGGCAGCTAACACGGAAGATCTCTCACTACTGTTCATTTTTTTAAGATCTTCATCAAGAGAAACCGCATTTTTACCGTCAATGTGGAAAGAGACTATGCGTAGATTTTCTTCGTTGGTAGCAGAGTTGGCCATCTTGCACCGCACAAGGTGGTGAAACCTACGTCATGTAAGATAACATGGAATCACCTTCTAAAAACCGTGGGAGAGGTGGGTGGGTTAAAAGGGTAAGTAAAACGCAAATTATGCTGTCCATACTCATAGCAGATTTTTTTTAACAAAACTTAATCATCTGCAGTGAAACTGTAAATACTGAAACTGATAATATTCAGTAATGTCCTTCAATGAGGCCCTGCCAGGGTAAATTCCGACAAGCGACATGGCCCAAAAAGTAGCGACAGCGCGTAAAATGAAATCGCGACAAGAGACAACCTCCCTCGCTAGCAGCCAAATTGCGACAGTGACGGCAAAGCCGACAATAAGTGACAAGCATTTATAAACATCGACACGAGACATTTTAAAATTCAGATGGGCGACATGGGACCCCCCCTGACTCGGCCTCTTCAATGGCAAAATGCATGAGTGACATCAGAGTGACTATATTTAGCAGTGTTTGTATGACTTTTCCAATCTTTGTTATTGAAATGATAAATGCAAGTCACAGAAGCATGACATTTTAAATATAAAAGTGACAAATACGCAAATGTTAATTTTATTATTTGTTTGTCTGAATTTCAGGTCAATAGATAGAAAATGTGTGCAGCACTATTAAAATTCCATAGGTCAATCATGCAGGAAGGACCTTTTCAAAGCACACTTTAATTCAACAAAACCAAGATCAGAGTTCAACACAGTTAACACTGCATATTCTAAGCGCTGATGACAACTTACTTTTCCAACAAGCTCGTCAGATAGTGGATGGATGATGCGAGTTTTGAATTCCAAAGCAATATGACCCACTAAGACCCACTCAGATGGGATCCAGTTTCCGTTCCCCAGGGCAGCGGTTGCAGCGTTGGGTACGTCATGTAGATCGAAGAAACGTGAACAAGATCAGGGTTGCGGGTATGTGTGTTTCGCTATGGAACAGTTACATTACGAAGAAGGAACATATCACGATCAGTGTCAAGTATTTGAAGCTTCTAAGTCTGGAGATGCTGTTTTACTCGATAAAAGTCTCAGGAAATTGAAATGTAACGAAAGAGCTTACGCTTTAGAAGAAAGGACTTGCCATGAAGGTGTACACCTTAACCTCAGGCATGGCGTGGACTTGGGATGCGCGAGTTTGAAAGCGTACGAAGGTGAATCCACCCCACTTTTAGTCGCTGCAGGAAATGGAAATCTTGATTGTGTGAAAATTTTGCTGCAATACGAAGCGGACATCGAAGGTCAAGGCCGTTTTTTTCTCTTCAAGAGCGTTTATCCAGACGTGTCTACAACCCCAATGATTGCAGCAGCGGGAAATGGACATGTTCATGTTTTGAGGTGTCTAGTTGAGAATGGAGCCGATGTTAATGGTACTTCAGATGACGGATTCACCGCTTTGATGATAGCAAGTTATTTTGGTCAGCTAGATGCAGTAAACTTTCTTATCAAACATGGGGCTGGCATTCATCATAAAGACAACCTTGGCTACACTGCTCTTCATCATGCAGTAACTCATGATCTCGGATCATGTGAATTGCTGAGCTGCTTAATCAAAAATGGGGCGAATGTCAATGCACGAGCAAATGACAACCGCACTCCATTGATGGTTGCTAGTGAAAATAACCATGTAAATTCAGTCATCTTTCTTACCGATCACGGGGCTAATATTGATCTTCAAGATAGGGAAGGTTACTCAAGCCTTCACTATGCAGCTGGTAACATTTCAGATTTATGTGATGTTTTGGACTTGTTAATCACAAATGGTGCTGATGTTAATGCATCCACCAATGACAAATTCACCCCTTTGATAATTGCAAGTAATTGCAACAATTTGAACGTAGTAAACAGCCTTATTCAACATGGCGCAAACATTCATCTTGTAGACAGATATGGTCGAACAGCTTTGCATTATTCCATCACAGTGGTGGACCATGACTCAGTTACTGTTTTGAGGAGTTTGATTAAAAATGGAGCTGATGTCAATGCTCTCACAAATGACAAATGCAGTCCTCTTATGATGTCAAGTTTAAGCGGTTCTGTGAATGTGGTAACTATCCTTGTTGAGAATGGGGCCAATATGGATATACAGAATCAAGATGGAGATACAGCACTTCATTATGCTGTATGTGCTACAAGAAACTCATCTGAAGTTGTTCACAAACTTTTAACTCTTGGAGCGTCGCGTTTAAGAAACCGTAAAGGGCTGACTCCCCTTCTTTTCGCCAGCTACATGCTGAAGCATTCTTTGGTGGAAGAATTAATCCAAAGACCAGAGATAACAAAAGAGCAGAGAATTGATGCCCTGGAGCTTCTTGGTGCCTCTCTCACTGTTTGGCAACGTGCTAGCAAAGGATCCATCAATGAGTACATAAAGCGTGGAATGGAAGAACGCTTTACAGATTCCTCTAATCCTTTGTTAAAACAACCAATGGAACCTGTTGAGGCTTATCAGAATAGAAAGGAGTGCCAGACTCTTGAACAGCTTGCTCAGATAGAGGGTGACAGAAATGCTATGGTCATAGACAGCCTTCTAATTTTAGAGAGATTCTTTGGAACAAAGGATACAGAACTGCTTCCTCAAATCAGATGGAGCGCTACGGAGAAGTGGTATATCGATTCTTACATACGCATAGGATTGTATCAACATGCCATAAGAGTGGCACATTGCTGCAATCAATCAGCAATTTCAGATTTATATGAAGCAATGTGTTTGCTTTACGCTGACACGGAGGATTGTGCCCTTCAAAGAGGAAAGTTTTTACTTGAATTGCTTGATCAAACTGTTCTTGAGTACAAGTACCAACGAAAGCTGGGAGAACAATTTGGCGTTAAGCTAGGTAAGGACGAGTGTAAAATTCTTTTTGGCTCTACAGTGAAACTTGTGCATATGATCTCCACACACAAATACTGGAAGGAGAGCAAGACTTCATGTGTATCAGAACTGCTTAGAAAACTTCGTTATCAAAATCCCAGAGATCAGTGTGGAAACACATTGTTACACCGCATTCCATGTCTTGATGCAGCAAAGCTTCTTTTGAGTGCTGGTTTTAATGTAAATGCCATGAACAATGATGGAGATACTCCACTCCACAGGGCTGTGAAACTCTTGCCTCTAAGCGGTGGAAAGATCCAGTTTTTGACTGACATGTTGCACGTTTTGTTCGATGGAGGTGCTCATCATGATTTTGTCAACAATGATGGTAAAACACCCATGGACATGGCTAAAACTGATGAAGCTCGCATGATTCTTTCAGAGAAAAGAAACCTGGAGTTAAAGTGTATCAGTGCCAGAGCTGTCATAAAGTTTAGAATTCCTTATTTGGGGGTGGTACCTAAAACACTGGAGAAATATATAAGCATGCACTAGTAATGAGATAAGCTGTACAGACAGTCAGAACTTTTTAAATGTATTTTTTACAAAATGCTGAGCCTTCTTTATATGATATTTAAGTCACTTAATGAAAAGTAAAATAAGCAGCAAAACTGTTTAACTTTTTTTGGACACTGCTGCCAAACAAGGTAATTTTACCATTCATGAATCAAACCCCTCTTGCAGCAAATCAGGTCGTCACAGGTTGCAAAATGTTGTTTCAGAAAGAAGAGAACAGTTCTACTGTTTAGAAAAAAATCTGTCAGTACATGTTGAGCATTTTATACCTGGCCCCAAGCCAAACTTGTAACTCCCATGAACGAGGTAACTCCCATGTAAAGCATGTCTCCTGTATATTTTTCGAATCACAAGTCACTATTCATGCAACTTTCAACAACCTGATTTGTTGCTAGACAGGCTCATTTTGCAGCAATGTTGCTAGACAAGTTGAACATTTTTGTTGCCTGTTTTACTGTATTTATCTTTTGTTTTGCTTCTTCACCCAGATATAGGTCAAAATTCAAATTCAGGTGAAAATGGTTTCAACTTTGGTAGTTTGATTTTCAATTTCCTATGTCTACCAGCCCTACTTATGAGAAATTGAGAATCAATTGACTTTGTTGACTTAGAACACTTTTAAAGCTTTTGGTGAAAGAAGGGTCAGACAAGATACAACCTGCCGGTAACTACCTTAACACCTTATATCTATATTTTTCTCTAAGCACACTTATATACTTAAAATGCACGTCTTTTTTCTTTATTTTAAAATGCCGCCTAGTATTTAAATTGCCTGTGGGGGAAAATCTCTATTCCTCATAAGCTCTGCAGTCACTCCTTCCGAGTTGTATGCTCATTTAAATTTAATATTAATTAACTATTTATTATCTTTATTATTCTTTTCTATTTAATAAAATAAACAAATAAAATAAAAATAAAAACAGTAGATAGATAACGTACAGGTTATTAACTTATTATGTATAGTAACTCAAAGAGTAATACTAGAAACAACTTTTTTCCAAAACTCAGAGCACAAAAAGTTTAAAAACAAATTAAATATTTTGTTTTTAATCGCTCAAACTTCATCAGCCATGTAAAACGAGATTCAGTTATGTAACTAAAGCTTTTGTTACATATTCTCAAGGGAAAATTGTAAATAGGCAAAGAAAAAATTATGTTTTAATGTGAAGTACACATAATTATATGAACTACAAACCATTACATCATCTCCCACTTTTCTTTTACAATACCCTTCTCCGCATATTTTGCTGAAAAATAAGATGATTTTAAACCATTTTTGCCATGGCACCCCATGCAATTTAGTCTCTTTCACGGCCCCTCAGGATGGAGTCATGCCCCGAGCTTGTATGACTCCAGAAGGAGACAACATATGCTTCAAAGAAAAAATAACGAGAGAAAGACTCTGACTGTACTACTCACATTGTAAATTCAGGAGAGATACTAAATGGCACCCCGTCTAGCCCACTGCTTAGCTAACCCCTTCTACACCAGCTACTAATAATTTCAATTTCTCCTGTACCCTGATGTACCATATTATCACAAAAAAAACTCTCGTTATTTCTATTCGATCTGGGGTTCTAAGGAACGGTCCATTATAAGAAAAGTTATGAGGAGGGTGGGGAATATTCGAGCCGCACGATTTATTTTTTCCAAAAAAATTTCCCCTGTATGAATTTTTTAGGCCTTTGCATGAATATCTTTAAGAGTTATTTGGCGTGCAAGAGTTTTTTTCATTTAATTTTCCCTTGCGCGAATATTTGTTTTGTACTTCACCCCCCTGCCCCCAATAAGTTTTCTAATGGTCCGTCTCTAAATAGGCCTTTTTTTTTTTTTTTTTTTTGCAACATTGGGTCACGTGATCTAGTTTCCCGGAACATGTAAACAATTGTAAACAATGGGTTTGGAAAAATGATTTTAGCAGTTATAGAAAGAGCACATGAAAAACTGCTAAAATATTTGTTTACGGGCTTATATCTGAAAGGAAGAAATTGCTACAGACGCCAAATTTGTATGGGAGTTACAATAGAGCTCCTTGCCACCCAGTCACATCACGGTTCAATAGTTTTCTATACAAACCCTTGTAAACTCGCAGTGGAAACTCTAGTCTCGTAAGTGGACACCCTCGGGCCCAGGGGCAGGGGTACTCCAGATTTCAAGTGAGAGGGATGATCGAATGGGGGCAAAAATCAAAATCCAAAAAACTCCCAAGGGCTTAAAACAACCCCCCCCCTTCCCAAAAAAAAAAAATAAAAAATTCCTTGGACCAAAATGTAACCGCCCAAAAATCCTATGCCGAATTTCCGAGCCACAAAAATTTCCAGAGGAACTACACGGCCGGGATACACGGGAATCATACGCGAAAACTGTCTGCCAAAATTTCTCCACCCAAAAAGTCCCAAAATCGAAAATTTTAATCCCAAAAAGAACCTTCGATCATCCCTGTCACATACGGAAATGTAAAAATACAGAGTTTGTGGCTGAGTTGCGAAAAAACGGGGTCTTGTGAAGGCGGCCTTTAGAAGAGCTGTCCGCTTACGAGAGTGTCCGTTAGGAGAGCTTCAACTGTATTGGCTTAATTTTTAACCCTTTGTAAAATCTCACTCTTACGCATTTTATATACCCCCCAAAATTTAACTCTCACCTAATATGTTCTTCCTCTGGCTTCCCTAAATAAATATTAAAAGCGTCCGTTTCATGAAAGACATCGAACTTCTCTGATTCCCCGCGAAAATGACGTAGTACTTGCGCAGGAGGACTGGTGTCAACCATTCATTGTTAAAACAAAATGGCGGACTGTTAGCGGTCGGTAAAAGAACAAGGGAAAATGCTACGTTTTCCTTTTTAGATCTTATCAAGACAAGGTTTATTGCATCTTAATAGCTATCATATGAAGCATCGATGAAATCTGACGGCGTATTTCTTTGTTCCTCAGTTGATTGTTGGGAATTTAGATTGATTTTGGCTCGTTCATGAAAATTCAAGTCGAACCGCCGTTCAAGGCCCCGCATGTGTTATTGTATTAATAGTACGTTTAGATAATCGTGATTTCGCTGTCTTAAGAGGTATTCAACGGTCTCAACTTGATTCCCAGCTGTACATTGTGTAGTTATGGCGAGCGCTCTTGTAGAAAGTGACTATGAAGATGATGAAATATCTGCCACTACTGAAGCTAAATCGTCTAGCGGTAGTTTGGAAGAAAGTGACGACGATAGTTTAGCTGGTTTCGAAGATGATTTAGATGTAGAAGAGGAAGACGCAGAGTTTGACGCCTCTAAAGAAGCTGGAAAAAGTAATGGGAAAGTTTCAGCGAAGAGGAAAAGAAAACAACCCGATCCTACGAAACGAAAACAAATTCGAAGGATTCTTCGAGACGATGAGCTGACAGAAGTAACAATTTCTGCGCAAAAGGAGGAGAGAGAACGTTTAAGGCGTCTCGAACTTCAGCGAAGCTTAGCAGCTGCTGCTGCAAGCTCAAGTGTACCACAGAGTGTTTCGAAAGTTGTTGAGAATTCCATTCCTTTAAGTGGTAGCTCAAAGCCCTCATCACCATTGTCTGTTGATACCAGAGAGAAAAAACAGGACCAGCAAGTTATTGTTATTGATAGTGATGATGAAGGGGACACATCATCTTCATTTACTAGTAGTGTAAATTGTTGTCATCCACAGGCAGTGAACGGTGATTTCATTGAAATCATCAGTTCTGATTCTGAGGTAGAAATCGATGAAAGTGATGATGACAGTGATGATTCTGGCTCTCATTCTAGACATGATCTTGATTATGAAAATAGTGGATTGCATGTTGATGACAGTTTAAATCAAGCTGATCCACAAGGACGTGTTCTTGTTAATGTCAATCACCCAGCTGATGAAGAAGATATTTTTCTGGCGCCACAAGTGGCAAAAGTCATCAAGCCTCATCAGGTATGATCCAACTTAGTCTGAACTCAATGTGTAAATAACAATACCACTTCTGATAATGTCCATTAAATTTGCTTAGGTTTAAAAAAAGAAATATTTACATGGCTAAAAATGCAGAATAAATTATTTTATTGTTCATCAGGCAGTGCTGTCAACTCTTCCGGATTATCCGGGAGACTCAAATTTTGGACAGCATCTCCTGGTCTCCAGATTAGAGTGTGAAATCTCCCAGATAATTGCCAAAGTTTACCATTTCTTCATTGGACTTGACTTTCCGACAATAAAATTTCAACTATTTTGTGTCATTTGAGCTATTTTAATATTAAATGGAATGTTTCTTCGTAAAATCCGGTATGCCATTATAATATAATAATGTGATTGGTGGGAAATAAACCAGTCAGGTCAAATGTTACAACGCCAACGTCATCATTTTCACATGCTTTGTGTCATCACGAATGTGTGACAATTAATCTTGTACTCAGATCTCTTGTTTTGCCCAACTGACGTCATGCACTGTGAGTTTTGACATCATCTATCATTTCTTCCCTATCAATTCTCAACATTTGAAGACGGGGGGTTGTAGGGGGTAGGGGGGTGGGATGGGGTGGTGATCGACAGCCCTGATATGGGTAAGAAAACACTGTCTGCTTATTGCATATTTATATCCTTAGGTAATTCCCGATGGGAAAAGTTTTGCAACATAACATAATTTTTTACCAGCAATTTTACTCCTTTGTCGCTAATATTTGTTGTTGTTGTTGTCATTGACTGTTTTGTTTTACAGGTTGGAGGAATACGCTTTCTTTATGACAACCTCGTTGAAACATTAAGCCGCCATAAACAAACTTCAGGATTTGGCTGTATCTTGGCACATGCAATGGGTCTCGGAAAAACTCTTCAGGTGTCAAGTTTTATTGACATTTACCTGAGGCACACAAGTGCAAAAAAAGTTCTGTGTATTGTGCCGATTAACACAATACAAAACTGGCTGGCTGAGTTCAACATGTGGCTACCATCAAAGCCAGGACTTATTGCAGATAGCAATGGGACTCTAGTTGAGGCATCCGATTCAGACAAAGTCCGTTATAGGAATTTTGAAGTGTATCTCTTGGGTGACAGTCAAAAGACTACAATGGCTCGAGCTAAAGTTATAGGTAAGGATAATTAAACGGCTGACTGGAATAATGCTTAACCCTTTAAGCCCCAGTATCCACATACAAATTCTCCAAACTGATCTCCATACATTTCCTTTAAGAATTAGTTGAGGGAATTTATTAAAACATCAAGGCGTTTTCTCATTCATGATCTTTTTTTATATTCTCACAACCTGATCTCTTGACAATGTATGGACATTGTTAGGAGAAAATTGCTGTTGGTCACTATTGGGAATTTAAAGGGTTAAACAAGGCTGTGCTCTAAGGAAAATAATATTGTAGGGAGCCCTGTGCTCTGAACCTGTGAAATTTAGGGTGCCCAGCAAATGATTGTATGGAAAAATGTGTATGCCATTTCATCGTTTCTCAGATGATGTTTTACTGCCAGCATCTGCTTGCAGCATTATGCTTACAATAGGCCCTTTGCAGCTAGCCATTCACATGGTACAAAAGTGCCGTGCTGGAGAGCAAAAGTCGCACTGGGAAAAGACAAACAAAGAAAATTACCATTTCAAATATATGTATGTCTTTTGTTTGTCTTGTGCAAGTACGACTTTTGCTCTCCGGCGTGGCAGTTTTGTACCATGTGAATGACTAGCTGCAAAGGGCCTATTTGTAATCTCTAGTTTACCATTTATTTAGTTTATTTCAATCTATCTTCAGGTGAGTGGAACCAGCACGGGGGTGTTCTTTTGATGGGTTATGAGCTGTTCCGCCTTCTCTCCACTGTGGTACCTTCTCTTTCAAGCAGTAAGAGTATGGCCACAAAAAAGAAGAAAGCACCGACTCCAACGGAAAAGATGAATGGTGAACCTGAAGTGATTGACTTGGATGAGGAAGAAAAACACATGGAGCTACTGATTGGTTAGTTTCTTCTTTCCTGCATTTACTGAAAAGAGTGCCACCCTGAAATTAGTACTGCACTTAAGGAGAAAAATGTTTTTTTAGCACTTCCCTGAGTAAGTGCTACATCTTTCCGAGATACAATATGTGGCACTTACTTAATTTTGACATGGGTCATGCAGAAATGTTTATACATCTAATGTTATTTTTGGTGGATAATGGCATTTAAAGCTCTTTTTTAAGATGTTATTCATGTGCTGTAATCATCATTTTTGGAGTAAAAACAATATTTTTGCAACTTGATGGGGATTTGATCCTCATATTGTTTTTGTGACCAAGAAACTTTGCTGCACATTATCTGTTTCTGAACTTCTCCATATATAATGGTCACTTTGGAAACAGAAGACAGTGGCTGCTGTAGAGAGGTGGCTGTTGTAGACAGGTTTAAACAGGAGTTAATGTATGGACTGTCTGCCAAAAAAGGTGGCTGTTCGTGGAGGTGCGACTGCACTCAGTTTTCAAGTGTCCTCTATTGCAAAACAGAGAACCCTTTAGAACCAAAACCTTCTTTAAATATAGGTGTTTAGCTGCTGTAACACCTCATGAAAATAGAAATTCAGAAGAATCGAGAATTCCTTCATTTGAATTTTGGTGACGTCATTTGAAAACTAAGAATTGGGGTATCAGGGTATAAAGGAAGTCGGTTTGCCATTTGGGCAATACATAGTATATAGTATGTACTAGCCCAAAAAAGTTTTGATGAGCATTGATTACTGTTCTTCTGTAATTTGATTTCCCCCAAAAACTTGGTGGGCAAGTGAAGAACAGAATCCACTAGCCCGATAGTGAAATCCTTAGGCTATAGGACATCACTTTGCACACTGGGTATTTTGATCCTCTCCTTATAGTCTTGCATCTTACTAAAAGTTTCTTGATCAAGAATAATGAAGCATCATTAAGACAACCTTTTTGCGAACAGAAGGCAATGACTAATCATGTGTACTCATCCTAATATTTTTTCAGGAGTACAGAAAGCTCTTTGTAGGCCCGGTGCCGATCTGGTGATTTGTGATGAGGGACACAGAATCAAAAATGATCAGGCAAATATTTCACAAGCCTTGAAAAAAATCCACACCAGGTATGTTAACTCAGTGATTTTGTTACAAATAGTTATGGTGAGTCCTGGAACTCATCATGCAAAAAATCTTGAGTGCTAGTCCAGAACCATTGGGTCCCAGTTCAAAAAACAGTGAGTCCTAACTGAATTTTTTTGGGCTTTTATGTAACCATGCAGACAATTATTTATCTAAAGACAGACTCCAAAACTCTGTATTACAGTTTACTGGAATAAAAAGCTCCTTCCGTCATAAAGCACAACAAAGACAAAAAGAAATATACCTCATTAAACAACAGCCACAAGAACAACCACAGAAATCATATGAACAGGATATTCTACATCAACTTTTGCGTCCTCTACATTGACCTTTACGTCCCATGGGACACATACCATGAATTATTTTGTTTCTTTTGCACTTTTTATGTGTCAGGGACGCAGGATGCAGAGGTAACAAAATCACTGTTAAGTACAGTCTGTTGTTCCTCCATGTGTAATACATTTTTGGTAACCTATGCATTACCATTTTTCAAAAAAAGTGACACCTACTCCAGGGCTTGGCCGGGCCATTTCTTGCTCATCTTAGTTAACCCTTTCACCGCCAGAAAGAATCAGAAGTCTAACTTTAGAGTCTGTGGACGAAATCTTATGGTGTGACCATTCAAATGAAACCTTTTAGGCAGTACTTTTACACGGTGCTATAGGTTTTTCAGCATTTTATAAAGTGAATTTGAAAATTTTGACAAAATTTGACTTAAGTCACTCCTGGGAGTGAAAGGGTTTATATTTTTGTGAGAGCATTACTTGCCTGGACTCTTGACTATTGGGTTAGTGATCTTTAAAAGTAACTCACCCAGGAAGAAAATCTACTTGTCCCAGGCTACTGGATGGTACTCATTTCCGGCCCTGCAACCCCGAAAATGAAAGTTAATTTAGCGTAAGGACTTCTAATGAGTGATCACATCTCTAAACAAACAAAATACATACAGTGATCACAATTAATTGAATGAAAAAGTGCTGGAGACAAGGTTTTTCCTACTCTTTAGGACTTAAAAAATTGCATGTTTGAGTTTTTTATTCAAGATACTTATTACTGGTATATTATTGTTGCATAGTGATACAGTCTTTTACCCTTGGAAATTGTGCTGAAAAAGCTGTTTGAAGCTGTTTGAAGTTGAGCCTTTTTCTGCTGATTATCTTGAGAAAAAAGACAATAGTACCTAAACCCTCATTAGAGTTATTATTAATGACAGCACATGAAGTACAAGGGAACTTCGGTTCCACTTGAGTGGTTGAGGTTTGAATGAGTTGAATGCAAAGTTAAGCTTTTACTCAGATGTACGTGGTTAAGAAATATTTTTGACCAAAACTTTTTCTTCAAAATTTCAAGATACATTGTAGGTGGGGAGTTGCTATAACTGTCTGTGTTAATGTGAAGAACAACAAGGAAAATGTGAATGTTAATAGTGGGACTAAGCTTATTATGTTTTTAGGCGTCGTGTCGTCTTAACTGGTTACCCACTACAGAACAACCTCCAGGAATACTGGTGCATGGTGGATTTTGTGCGACCCAATTTTCTTGGCAACAAACAGGAGTTCTGCAACATGTTTGAAAGGCCAATACTAAATGGACAATGCACTGATAGTACTCCATCAGTAAGTTATATAGGATCATTACATGTTTCTGGGAAACTACCCACCTACCCCTCCCCTTAGCCAACATTTTGCCCTAAGTGAAAAGTAAGTGTTGATGTTGGTGTAGGGGAGGGGTAGGTGGGCAGCTTCCCAGAAACGTAGGTTCCCTGGTCCTTTTCAAAGTCAGACGCTTAGTGCCCTCTCCAAAGATGAGAACTGGCCAGTCCGACCGATCATTTAAGAAATGAAATATTAGTCTTTTCTTGAAATTTTTCCTCAAACCTGTAGACCATTTACAAGTAGACTAATCTGGCTGGACAGTCCTGATTAATAGAGGAATTCTCCTTATGATGGCACTGGTCTGTACAGCCAGTTCTAACAAAACAATGAGTGCCCTTACATGTAGTTTCAACATTCAACTGAACACATGTCATGAGCAGAACTGTTTTTTAAAGAAGTAGGTAGCTTAGGTTTCTTATCTTTGCTAGAGATCATACCATTACTGTATAGTTTGAAAGATCTCTTCACTGTGCGCAAGATCAATGACAAAGTTGTCCTTGACTGTTAAAACTGATGACTTTACAAGTGGTAGAACAAACGTGGATCTTCACAGGCGGTCATGGGTGGTCAGGGGCAAATGCATTAACTGTTTAACTCCCAATAGCGACCAACATCAAAGTTCTCCTAACAATAATCCAAGCAATGTCAAAGGAAAAGATTATAGCTCCAAAGAGAAAGTGCTTTGATCTTTTATCAAATTCTCTTAACTAGTTTTTTAAAGAAATCAATGAATATCAATCAGTTTGGAGAATTGGTGTGTGGATATTGGGGCCTCAAAGGTTGACCTTGCAACTCTTTGCATTTGTTTTCTTCATTAATTTGCCTTTTTATAGGATGTAAAGGTAATGCGATACAGAGCCCATGTTCTCCACAGCTTGCTTGAAGGATTTGTCCAAAGGTTAGTCTTGTAATAGAGCTAAATCTTGACCTGCAAGCAGGCTCACTTGGGCATTTTTTGGGGAAAATGTTGGCAGCAGAGTCATCAGTGCGAGCAAAGCCAGGGAGAAGAACCCTATTTTTCGTGTGCTACGTCATAATTTTCCCCGAAACTACCCAAGTAAACCTGCTTAAAGACTAGTTAGATGTTAGCATTTCAGTCAAGTTAAGCATGCCAGCCACATTTTTCAGCATGCTCGTTAAACACTGCTCTGTGAAGTTGGCTTAAGTAAAGGCTGAATCCTACGTGTTCACTGAAATCACTAAGACCTCTGAAAGAAGTTCAGTATTACACCATTACATGAAAACAACTCTCCAGTTTAATTTTAATCGATTGATGGCTTCTGTAATTCCCAGATAGTCAAGTGATAAACCATTATACATAAACTTATGCATTTTTTCTTGTGTAGGAGGAGTCAAGCTGTTCTGACAAAATGTCTCCCAAAGAAAGAAGAACATATCATTCTGGTGAATATGTCGCCAATCCAAAAAGAGCTGTATAATGGCTTTGTTGAAGGTCTGTTAGGTTCAGTGGGACATGTCAATCCAATCAAGGGTTTCCACACTTGCACAAAGGTATCTAAATTTTTAGCACAGTCAAACCTTCAATTTATTTATTTTTTATTTCATTTTTATTTTACCAGCTTTTTTGGACACAGGTCTGCCCAGAGGGAATAGGCACGAACGGGACACATAGGTCCCAAGCTTAAAGGTGCCATCCCTGCCCAACCCCACAACCCGTGAAGGTTGGCCACACCACCGGGGTCTACGTCCCCCTCTCTTTTCGATCAGTGAAAGTGCTGTGAGACGGGACCTTGACAGAAGCAAATTTCCCACGCGGCACGACCAATCAGAAGTACTACCCAGATCTGGGTAGTGACACGTCATCAGTATGGAATTTCTGCACTCATTTCTCAGACGCCGTTTCGCGCGGAAGCCAGTGGTGACCTCGCGAAACGTCGGCTATTTTCTCAAGCTACAGAAATTCAGAGCTGAAATTTATTAAACGAGAGTTTTTATTCCTATCCAGTTCATACCTTATGCCGAATGCTTAAACAAGGCACCTTTTTTTCATTAATTGATGCCGTTTAGTTTAGAAAACTTGTTAACTGTATTATAAAAAGTTGCCGGACTAAATTATTTTTTGGTTCGCATTGCCTTGTAGATTTGGAATCACCCAGACATTTTTTACTCATCATTGGATATGAAAAATAACTACAGCAGGAATGAGTCGCCTTTGGTACGTAAATATATTATGTACAGTTAAATGAGTGAAATTTTGAAGCTTCATTTCAAACCAGTAGATGAAAACGTATTTTTATTAGTGCTGCTATAGTTTGTTTCGGAGCGCTTTTTCTGTCCCGGTTATAAGCCCAGTCGGATATAAGCCCTTCCGTTTATAAGTGCTCCTAAAACCGCTTACGACGATGTTTAAGCCGTGGGCTTATGAGCGGCTGTTTACGGTACTTTAGATATCAGGAAATAGGGACCTTAAAATTTGAGGACAGCGCAGCGGCGAAAACGTCGCATAAAAAGTGAATTTGCGTTCTTTGAAACTTCAGCGCGATTATCCCAACGTGCTCACTTTGACTAAAGTACGCGAACTCTCCTGGAGTTGAAGTCTTAAGAAAAATATCCAAGTTTAAAAAGAGAAAGTGAAATTCGTCTGTTTTATGTTTACGTTGGCGATAAAACGCGACCTTAAGATCCGAGGACGACGACAGCGGCGAAAACGTTGCATAAAAAGTGAATTCGCGTTTCGCAATCTTCACCGCGAATATAAGAACTCACTTACTTTGTCAAATGTAGGCGAACTCTCCTAGTGTTGAATTCCCAAGAACCATATCCAATTTCAGAAAGCGAAATAAAATTTTGTTGTAACTTCTTTATGTCCTCTATAAAACGAGTAATTAGGCATTTGCACGTCGTAGTCGTGCAGTGACGACAAAGAAATCAACAAAAATGCGTGCTGCACGTGCAAAGTTGTTTTGCTCATTAAACCTATTGCTTTTTTGACGTTCTCGCTGATGTTGTCTTGGCTGATCTTTAAGTCTCTAAAAATCTTTTTTTTTTTGCTTTCAGACCATTCTCGATGATACTAGTGGGAATGACAGTGTTCAAAATTCCCGCTCGGATGACAGAGGCGCGTCTCCATTAAACCTGCCGCAAACCGTAAGCTCTGCAGCTAACCAGGAGATAAACACGAATGCAATGACAACGAGTGCGATGTCACAGAACCTGGCTTCAACATCTGCCCAGTCAGTATTAAGGACGACTGTACAGTTAAGGCAGATGGTGTCAAGTCAACTGTCTGGAAACACTGTAGCAGTATCACAAATGAGTACCACACAGTATTCTACATGTGTACCCGTCATTCAGTCACTTGGCGACCGTGTCTCTCCTGTTGTGGAAGATATGACATGGGTGAGTTTTTTTTATGTTTTTTTTTTTCATAGTGGAAAAACATGATCTTAAGCAACAAAAACGCCCAATTTGTTTTGCAAGATTGTTGCTAAACCAGTTGAATAGCTATGTTTTGCGTTTTACCAGCCGCGTTTAAACCTGTCTTGCAACAAATCAGGTTGTTGTGTTGCAGAAAGTAGAGAGTTCTTCTATTTTAAGCAATAAATTTGTACATCACCGCTAGACTTATCATAACTTAGAAATTGCATGCAATAAATTTTCTCCCGAAAAGTAGACTCTACGTGGAAAATACCCCTTGTGGTTCGGCTGTCGTGAGTGAGCTCTAAATCTTCACATTTCAGGTTATCGTTCGCTTTCTTTTAGGCTGCCCTATAATGCTATTTCAATATTTTTCCTTTTTAGGCCAAGAATTTGTTTAAAGATTACCAGCCTGGAATGGTGGAGAATGGAGGCAAGCTTGTGGTGTTAATGGACATTATAGAAGAGAGCTTAAAACTTGGCGAAAAACTCCTGATATTCAGGTGAGTATTGCGGTCAACTTTGGAAGTAACTTGGTAATAAAGAGCTTTAGATTGCAGGACGAGGAAGACTACGAGTACGAGATTTGACTTAAAGGTTTTTTCGCGTATTCTCCAAATATAGACTCTTCGGAAAGATTCATTTTACCATTTTTCACTAGAAAAGTTAAAACACTGTTACCTTTAGTGAAGGAGTTTACACCCTCTCCTGATCGCAAAATGATAAAACTTCTAACATTTGAAAACTTGTTTCCACCACTTCGACATTCTCGCTAAAACTCGTAGTAGAATGACGACGGCTACCACGTTTTCCCGCCAAAATGACGCTGGTTCACGCGTGAGCTCTACTTAGTATTGAGAAAATCTCGTACTCGTAGTTGTACTCGTTTGAAGGTGATATTACACGGGACGATTCGCAACGACGATTTTCACGGCAGCAAAACGTTGCAGTGCTGGAACAATGTTGTAACCATTCGAAACAATGTCGCAACAATGTTGCAACGCTGTGTTGCGCTAAAAATCGACGTTGCGAATCGTCTCGCGTAACATCACCTTAAGAATGATGTAAAGCTCTCTATTCTGAGACGAGGACGACTACGAGTACAAGATGTACTCAATACTGAGTATTACTCACGCGTGAACCAACATCATTTTGGCGGGAAAACGTGGTAGCCGTTGTCATTCTACTACGAGTTTTAGCGAGAATGTCTTAGTGCCGGGAAGTTATTAAAGTTATCGTTCTGCTATCGGGATAGGGCGTAACCTCCTTCAGTATAAACAATCGTACTAACTTTTTTGGTGAAAAAAATTAAAATGAAGCTTTCCGGGGTGTCCTTTTCTTCAGAGAACACGCGCAAAAACTTTAAGTTTAATCTTTCTCGTCTTGAAATCTAAAGTTCTCTAATGAAACTATAGTACACCCACTCAACAAGTTAATAGAGACCTGTAGATTCTAAGAGGAGGACGATGGACCACAAGAACGAGATTTTCTCAGCACTAAGTATATATGCTAACGCGTGAACCAGAGACGTTTTGGTGGGAAAACGTGATAACCGTTGTTGTTCTACTACGGATTTTACCGAACATGTCGTTGCGACGGAAACAAGTTACCAAATGCAATAATTTTTATCACATGATTTTGCGACCAGGAAAGGGCTTAACTTCCTGATTCAGAGCCGCAGCCAGTATAGCGGGAGTCCGTGGGTTCGAATTTCGTTGGGGTTTATATTTGTCCTACTCTCAGTGGATGTTTCTTATTGAAGTATGCGATAGATTATTCACAATCCTATTTTTCGCGTTTTTTAGTCAAAGTCTTTCGACGCTGAGTGTTATCGAAGAATTCCTTTCCAAGCGTGATGTTCCATTTTTCCCTGGGCGAGCCACTGATCCACAGAAGCCTTCCAGATGGGCTCGGAACAAGAGCTACTTTCGTGAGTTTATAACCTCATGGCCTGAGAAAAACATTTCTCGACCTCACCACTGGTTTTCCCGCGAAATGACGTCTGAGAAACGACCGCGGAAATTCCATACTGATGACGCATTACAACCCAGATCTGGGTAGTGCTTCTGATTGGCTAAAAATTTGCTTCAGCAAACCGTTTTTCAGACGTTTCGCGGGGAAACCAGTAGAGGCGTCGCGAAATGTCGGCTGTTATCTCAGGATAATAACCTCATTGCTTTTCTCTTTGTTTATGATTATCCTTTGTTAGTTAATTCTTTGTTGCCCTGTAATTTTTTTTCGTTCGTTCGTTCGTTCGACCTGCACTCTGGAACTGTTTTTGTAGGACCATCTTTGACCAGGTTTCCCGCGCAACTGCGTAATAGCCATTTTACGAAAGTGCCCCTCAAAGCTGTCCCATAGTGCATTTCGATACAAGACCGACCCAAACTCACCACACAAGCTCAAAACGTCCAACAGGCCATCTCCGAGTTGCCACAAGCGAGGCTTAGTGCGAAGCCATTGACATGAAAATGATTTTTATTCTCATGCGAATAAAACTCGCTGTCATTAGAAAGGTTTTGCTCTTGGCCTCGTTTTGAAAGCGAGGGTTTTTGGAACCCGGAAATGGCCTATAAACTTTTGTAGTTTGAAGAACGTTTTCAAATATGAAAATGGCCATTTATTTCGTCGACATGTCAAAATGGGAAGCCTAAACCTGTTTGAAAAATACGTCTTTACGTACAATTTTATAAAAACCTATATAAGTGGATGTATCTTTGTATTTTTTCCTTAGGGCTCGATGGCAATACCTCAGCCCAGGAACGAGAAAGACTTATCAATCGTTTCAACGCTCAGGACAACGTCGAAGTACTTCTGTTTATGCTGTCAACAAGGTGTGCACTATTACTGTGATTGCAACACCTGGGCCTCCGGGTTTGACGTTTTGGCGATGGATTATTGTCCCAGAACCGTAAAATACATCATTATTGCTAATTTATTTAAGTACACTTTAACCTTTTTGTAACCTAAGTATCAACAGAGCCGATACTCTCCACATTGTTTTCTATATATTTTCTGTGGCAATGATAAAGTGAATTTGTTTAACCATCAAGTACCGTTTTCTCTTGTCGCTCAGTTTCGTTTTTCATTGTTTTGATTGAGCAGTGATACTTAAAGGAGAAATTATATGTTGGTCTTTCTTTGGGGTTTGAGGTTTTAAAGAGTCCCCATACCTTTGTGCGTTCTTCCAATGATCCTTAGGTTTTTCATTAGTTTTTCTCGATAAGAATTAGAGCTGTTGTCTTAATGGATTTAAATACACTAGTTAAATATTAATTCCCTAGCATTTTCTTTTTGAGTTATTAATGAGTCGGACCATTTTACGTTTCTTGGAAACTGCCCACCTACCCCTCCCCTAAGCCAACATCAACACTTACTTCTCACTTAGGGCAAAATGTTGGCTTAGGGGAGGGGTAGGTGGGCAGTTTCCCCGGAAACTTAAAATGATCCAATGGGTCTTTCAAACCTTATTCTAGAGCTGGTTGCTTGGGTATCAATCTTGTTGGTGCAAGTCGCGTTGTTGTGTTTGATGCATCATGGAATCCTTGCCACGATGTTCAAGCTGTTTGCAGGTAACCTTTTGATACTTAACCATATTTCTTTGAATAACAGCCAGGGACGATTTTTTTTTTCGCACAAAAACCGGGCGATTATTTCAGAAGGAGACGTAAAAATAGTGTTCACAATTAGTAATTTCGTGCTAAATACATTGACACTCAAATACAGTGCATTGGTTTGCTTATGTATGTACGTTTAGTGGTACAAATTTGTCTTGTGCTTGTAAGAGAACCCAGTTTCTCTGGGAGCCATTTGACTATAGTCGTTATCACTTATCGTATGTTGTGTCGTGTTTTTTTTAATTAGTTTATAATTTTTCTTTCCGGCAGAGTTTATCGTTATGGCCAGTTAAAACCAGTTCATATTTACCGACTGATAAGCACAGGAACTATGGAAAAGAAAATTTATGATCGACAGGTCACCAAACAAGGCATGGCAAGTAAGGGATGACGTTATGTTAATGAAACCTGTCGTCTCTGTAGCTACTAAGAAGACATGGTGGCTCATTCACCACTTCAGAAGGAGACTGGACCCAGTTAATTTTCGCCAAGGCTTGTGGGACCTTTTTTAGGGTCAGGGAAAAAAAATTGGCCAATAGCTGACCGGGGCGTCCGCAGTAACCATCCCAGAAGCAATTGCGGGACACATATTTCGGCCCCAGCTCCCTTCTCGTTTTTCTAATGTGGGAAATGCGGTTTCAGTGTTCTCCTTATCAGGCGGCATCCGGTAAAATAGTCCATTTTCGAGTTCGCTATGACCGCTGAATTAAAGAAGTGAAGACGCATTTTTTTTACAGCCTTAGCCTCCATCTGAAGTAATATATTCACAAATTTCAACGAGAAAAAGACCTGTTTATTACTCTGTCTATTGTGTATATTCAAATTTCAAACACTTACTTGCCAGAATTTCTGAATATTTTACTTTACGTCGAGGCCAACCCTGTATGAATGTGTCGTTAATGTTTGTATTCAGCGGTAATTTTTAATTCGAAACTGGACTATTTACTGCCAGAAGTAACACTTCTTACCGCCTGCAACGGCCTGAATTTTTACTAAAATTAAAGAAATACTTTTAAAAAATGCACAAGTTGTGATCCGATCCGATTTTCACATGCCACAAGGAAATGAATGAATATATGGAAAAGTGCTGAAGTATACACAGCTTTTCTTTTTATGGGCCACGCATTTTGGAAAGAGAACATCCAAGACCAAGTAAAATGATTGGAATCAGTGGTTTAAAATTGTTGTGTAAAGGTAACAACGACCGATTTGCGTAAAAGAGGTCTTAAAATGAGGGAATGACGTTTCAGAGAACTTAGCTCCCAAATTTCCCAGCAAGGGAGGGGTGATGTCCCGCACTCCACTACCCCCCTGCCCCCGGAAAAGTGCACCTGTCTTTTGCCTTGCCGGCTATGAATGATCCCTTAACTGCTGAGCTAAGATTTAGGGAGAATACTGGGTTTTCAGTTGAGTGTGGAACACTACAGTAAATTATTTTTAGCGATTTTTCGAGTTCGAGTTTGAATTTAAGTTCAAGTCTGAGTTTGAGTCCGTGTGCTATTATGAGTTCGACTTCGATTTCCAGTTCAAGTTGAAGTTTGGGTTTGAGGATGATTTTGTCTTCTTTAGTACTATGGCGTCGAAAACAACAAAATTTAGACACTTATTGTGCCCTACTTATAACAGCCTTTGTGGGCTCGGAGAGAAGGCCCCCGCAATTTAGGGTCCAGAGCTTCAAAATGCTTTTATTTGTGGGGTAACCTGAGATCAGGCTCTATTTTCGTTTCGCTTTGAAAATTACATTCCGGCGGGCATGGCGAAACGAAAATAGCCGTTAAAAATAGCGGTAGCCGTTATAGAGAATGTATGAAAACCGCTCAAATTGGGCCTGATCTCAGGTTATTTGTGGGGTTGTCGTCTTTCACGTTTAGCAAGTTACTCTGAATTATTTTAATTTCCAGATCGAATTGTCGACGAGCTCAATCCAGAGGCTAATTTCACCAAGCAAGAAATGATGAAATTAATTCATGAAAAGGTAAAGTGAATGTAATGTAAATGAACGTAAATGATTAATCATACTTTTCAGAAAGAAGCCTATCTTCATATAAAATCAAGTCTGTAATTGTATTTTGTTTCATCCTTGGAGTGGAGAATCTCTTTTTCGATAGTATTTTGAAAGAAAGCAAACGAAAGAAAAGAAGTACAAAGGAATTTTTTTCATGGAGCTCTCATTTATTATGACCTGAGGGGTTGACAAAATTGTGCCTGTGGAGGGGGTTGGGGGTAGGTTATTTTGTCAGTCCACTGGGGTGCTCTCTAGGGTTTGAATGACTAGGGTGGGGTGTAAACTTTTTACTCACTACAGAGGGTTGGTTTAGGAAGTATTTTGCAGATATATCAGCGGATTTTCCGACCCTTCATCCCCGGGTCACAATCCCCTCTCTTTGGGGAAGCCCTCTTGAGTTTATTTTATTTGCTTTGTAGGAACCAGTCTCCCCCGCGTCTGACGTGTCAGCAGCCGCTGAACAGTTTAATGATCCAGTGCTGGTCAGATTGTGTCGTCTGTGCAGCCAATGGATCTCAAAGGTTAGTGCTATCTAGTTTGTAAAAAAGGCCTTTTTTTCGCATTTTCAGGTGAGCACGAAGCGGACGTGGAGAGCGATACACTCCCGTCGCGCGTGTCTCGCGGGTGTCTCACGCTCCCCGTCTGTTTTGCAGGCTAAGTTTTGTCATGGCTATTTTTTTTACCCGTGCAATGTTTTTGGAATGTTTTTTAAGAGAGCCATGGTTAAAATTGTATGTAAATGTGACCCACGAAGCACTAAGTCCAGGCTTCCACTAGAGGAGATTTTTCCGCTTTAATTTCGTCACGATTCTGGAACGTTGCGGTACCAGATTCGTTTTGCGGCGCACACGCAGATGCGGGAATCCGAAATATGAACGGTTTTGTTTGATCGCGCGTCCAGAGAAATTGAATTCGGAATCTAAAGTGAACATTGGTGGATCCAGGGGATGGGCCCGAGGGCCGAAACCCCCGCCCCCTACTCCACCTCGGGATCCGCCACTGGTGAATCCTTTGGTTGTTTACCATTTACTAAAAGTTTCCGGAAAATCCGAATGAAAAGGAATTGGAACACTGTTTTTCGTGTCGCTCCAGCGGAGAATAGCGGATTAAAAGTGCTCGCCCTTTTCAGATCAAGTTGGAATTTGAAAGTGTTAGTCTGTAAGTTGAGAGGAAAACCGGAGAATCCGGAGAAAAACCTATCGGAGCAAGGGGACAACCAAAAACAACCTTCTCCCTCGGATGGTGTCGATGGCGAGATTTGAACCCGGGCCAGATTGGTTGAATGCGACAGGCTCTCACCACTGCGCCACCCTTGATCCTTTTTTGGTAATTGTCGGAAAATGATCGGAAACTTTTGTACACCCTTTGGACAACATGCGGAATTTTTTTTTCGAAAATCATCGAAAAGTTGCTTGTAGTCGACAAGAAAAAAAGTCTATAAAATTACGCTTGACTGACGGTGATCTGGTGATTTCCTTTGATGCCCAGGTGCCGTTTAAACACGACTCTTTGTTGGTGGATAAAAAGGAATTAAAGCTTACCAAGGCAGAGAAAAGAGAGGCGAAAAGAGGTAAAAGACCTATTTTAATCAGCTTTTAATAGCGAAGCTTCACGCGTTCGCGAAGTGCGCGTGAGCAGAGCCCCACAACAAAGAAAAATTGGTATCTATCCATCCGAGAAATTGTGGTAGTTATGTGACCGTCCGCACCACAGGATGTCTCACTTTCTGGCTAGAGTCGGAGCCTGCAACCTGATACTGAACGTGCATGTTTTGTTCAATTGACAGCGGTCAAAATAGGGTATACGCTGACGAGTATCACATGACCGTATCGTGGGTTCAGGTTACTAGTTTTCAACTGATTGCAGGTTCAACTCGGCTCCAAGTGGATTTCTTTGCAACTGTTACATGCTTAATGTTTGAAGTAAATTATAAACTTATTAACGGGAGCTTCGCCTTTAGCCTTGGCTAATTCTGTATATTAAAAGTTTATATGTATACATCATTTATGAAAAAAATAGAAACAAAGGGCAAATTCTCTCTAGGCGGCGCTGATCATACAATGAGATAGAAGAGAAAGATAACCCGCAAAAATATTTTTGATGCCATTAAACTGTTAAGAACGTGTATAACTTGCAACAAATCATTGGCTGTTCGTATTCAGAGCCAAAGTGAGTGTAAGTCTTTTTAGTCCGTCAAATAAATACCTCAGTCTCTCTAATAAAAGCCCTCTTTAGAGTTTTAGACTTTTAGAATAAATTCGATAATACTTTCCTACACATTTATTTCTAAGGTTATGAAATGGAGAAACGACTATCCATGCAGCAACAAGGGGCGCGTGCATACTGTCCCGGTGTTATACAACCGGTTTATAACAGGTAAGACCAGTTGATAATCGGAATGAATAGTCCTTGCTTATACAGAGTTTGTCACACAAACTGATCTTAGAAGGACAGTAGGCTATTTCCGAGTTGTGCCAAGCCTCTCTTTCAAAGCGAGGCTAAATGTGAAACCATTTATATGAAAATGATTGTTTCTTCTCAGGCGAAGAAAACTCATTTTCACAAGAGAGGTTTTGCGCGTAGCCATGGTCCGAAAAAGAGGGTTTTGCAACTCCGGAAATTTCCTGTTCTTTTTATTACGTAAACACGGCTGAACTTGTTATCTTCACTCGTGTAGATCACTTGTCTTTTGGGGAAAAAAAACAAACAAACAAAAAATGTATTGTCAGCAAATCGACAACAGTCGATTTTTATAGTTTTGTCGTCCGTTTCTGTTGAAGTTTCTTGGAGAATCGTGCGCGCGAGAAAGGGAAAAACAAATGGCGCCACCATGACGTCATTTTCTTTGCCTGTACTCTTATCGAGTATAGCTCTCCACCAGTCAGCGCGCGAGAAATCGCTCAGTTATCTTGAAAGCGAAAGTCGGAATTTCTTCGATGAGGACTATTGGCAGAGATGAAATCTATGAACGTGGGAAATTGTTTTTGGCTCTCATTTGCTTGTTGTGTTTTACACTTACTTACGCCGCTGAAGCACTCTTAAATTTACCCGTGTCTATATTTCTCCTTTCTTCGTCCGACATTTTTCGTAGTTCCTTGGCCACAAAGCCTCGTTAATAATCGTCTTCCGGTTTGTTTCTGGGATCGTGATATCCGTGTTAACTTGTCTTTGATGCTATTTCATCATGCTCGCGTGCTACTCACATAAAGAAAGAGAAAAACAGCCGAGAAAATGACAACCTCGTTCCCAGGGCCCTCTCTCGCTCCAGAGGACGAGCAGGAGAGGAGCCTGGGAACGAGGTTGGGAAAATGATTGATATGTTCTTGCATTTTGTTTTAAACCGCTTTTCTAGACCCAATCATGTTTATGTACCAAACCCAGTTAATCCAGCTGGACCAATTTCACAGCAATGCAACAACTCAGCTTCCATCTCATCTCATCAGCAAAACGCTCATCCTTACCCCTCCCCTGTGGCACACCTCCCCATCCCTCTTGCTTCTTTGGTCCGTGCTGGAGTTCCTGTTACACAGTTAGGGCAGACTTTGCCCTCGGCTCTTCTAAACACCCTGTCGACGTCTGCAAATACGACGCCAACAACGAGCACTTCCGCTTCTAAAGACGACGTGGTAATGATTGACTTAGACGAACTGCCGTCGCCGACCAAACCATTGCAGGAACCTATCCTGACACAGGGTACCCAGCCGAATAGCGACTTGATGAGACTGGCGCGTAACGCCTTCCCGAATGTTTCTCCATCGTTCATTGGTTTGTTGTTGAATCAAGGGAATGCGCGTGGGAACTCGCAAGAAAACGCGCGTGCAAACGCAGAAGGTACAAGTTCTAAAGATGAAAACAAAACTGCTGAAGCAACTGATGCGACGGTTGCTAGTGGCAACAAGACGTCAGAGACTGGGAATACCGCTGACAATGTTCAAACGTTGAGAGGGCTACTTGCTCCAGACCCAGCGGGGAAACAAGTCAATGACGAGTCAGCCTCACCGACCTCTCCCACAGTCCAAGGCGGATCTATAGTCTCCTCTCCTAAAGTTGAAGGAGACGCTTCTCCGCAAAGGCAAGTCACGGATGAGAAGCCGTCACCCACCCCTCCTGTTGTAAATGACGGAACCGATGATCTGGCATCCCCAGAGGGGGTCAGTACAGACATTGAAAGACCTGAGGCACGTAACACGCTGCTATCTGAAGGGGGTCATAGTGGAGAGCCAGAAATGCTCAAGTCATCGTCTCCCACCCCTCCCGTTGAAAAAAAAGAGAACACTATCTAGAGGGTCTGTTAAAAAACCAACTATAATCCAAAAGAAGTTAGAGACTGAACTATTGTATTTTATTTCTTTCTTGGTTCAAATAATCGCGATCTACGTTTCTGGGGGATTATTTTTACCGATAGTTTTTTTCCGATACTCTTCATCGATATGGATTCCGGGCGCGGGACTATCTCGATCTTGTGTTAGTAAACACAAGTTAATTGACTCTGTCAAAGCATGCATTTTTACGTGACTGAAGAACGAACGCGTGGAATGAAGCATGTTTTATTGCGCTACACTAGAGTAAGTGTACATCAAAATGATTTTGAAGTATTGTTTCTGATGCGAAGTGAACATTTGTAAAAATTTCAACATTCGCGGTTATTGGTAGTTGTATTTTGGTTCAATAAACATCCATTCACACTCAGAATATGAGGTTTACCTTGACAATTTTGGAATTGTTCGGGGCGGAAAATACCATAATATTCGTCAAACTGTGGTTTGGGTGGTGCTTCATGTATGCCGTACTTTCGCAGTATTTTTTTGTTTTGTTTTGTTTCTTGCGCGAACTGCACGTGCAGTGTATGCAAATTTAAGAGGAGCTGGTGTATTGCGCATGCGTATCGTGCAGAGAACAAAAGGTATTGCAAAAGTTGGGGTTACATGAAGCACCACCCAAACGGAAATTTAAAGAGTATTATGGTATTTTCCGTTTTGAATCCCTCTCTTCACTGAAATTAAGACAAGCTTAAGAGCAAGTGTGGCCTGCATGGCAGGGGCTGGTTGGTATGTTTTGTTAGGTTTTATAAAGAGTGAGGGAAACACGCGGGGGAGTGAAGGCCTCCTCGCCTTTTCTCTCCTCGTGCGCGCGCGTGTCCTCGAAATTCGTCCCTTAATAAAACCGGCTAGAACAAGCGGCACTCGTACACCGACCCAAGGCGTGCGCATGCGCACAGCCATATCACCCGGGCATTTGTTTTTTGTAGAGTTTCCAAAGTTTCGCACGCCAACTGTGGGTTTTTAAGAATCTCAGTCCCAAATGTAGAACGTACTATCTTTGCGCGAATGTGGATTTCGGAGTACTGTTACCTGCATTACCTTTGGTGACCTGCATTCTCGAAAAGCAAAATTTCAGAGTCAGTGCTCTCTTGGTCTCTCTTACTGGTAATAACCAAAGGTTAAGGAGTCTGGGCGACAACGATCGAAGGTCAAAACGCTTTTGCTCTAATGCTGTCCTTTGCGTAAGTTTCACGTGACAGACGGTCAAAACACGCGTCATCTGATTACGAGTGATAGACGGTCCAAACGCGCGGCATCAAATTGCGTTCTGTGCATTCCATTCATTCTTAGTGGAAGTCCGAACGAATTCTGGCTACATAGATGCGACGCAGGCGTAATAACAACCTGGAGATTAGGATTGTGCGCTCCTCTTGTCGCCCGCAATAAGTTTAGAAGTCTCACGTCAATTGACCTCATGAAAAGGGGAAAATGGTAAGATATATCATATATTTTACCCGAAAAAATGCTGTTAGAACATACAGTGTATGTTCTAACAGCATTTTTTCTGTTTCTCGTCTTATCGTCATGTAAATCGCAATATCTATCTGAACAATTAAGTGTTGATTTTTTTTGTGTATTTATAGCTCCTCTAAATGACATTTTAATTTTTTTGCGCCTAAAATTTTAAGGCGTAATTGTTTTTCAGTCAGATTTAATCGCATTAATTGTTTTGAAAATTGAGGCGAAAACTTCTGCTACAAAACAGATTAAATTAATGATCGTGGGAAGAGTTTTTTGTGGCATTGATATTCACTCGTCGTCTTTTCCTGAAATAAAATTCCAACGAAAGCATGTGAGCAGTAGGATTCAGGAATATGCCGGCTGTACCAGGTCGTTCTAACTTTTGAGTCTGTGGATGAAATCCTTAAGTGTGACCCTTCAAATGAAAGCTACTGAGCAGTACTTTTCTGTGGTACTGTTTATTATGCTGTACAAGGTGGCTCTAACTTTTGAGTCTGTGGATGAAATCCTAAAGGGTGACCATACAAATGAAAACTAATGAGCAGTACTTTCCTGTGGTATTGTTTATTATGCTGTGCAAGGGGGTTACTTTTTCAGACAATAAACGGTGGATAAATTTTGTAGCAAAAAACAAAAATGCAAATGCAATATATAGAACGCGATCTCCTGCATATGGAACATTTGTATCGTATGGTTAATTTTTTTTTTAAAATTTAACTGACTCACTCTCTTTTTTTTCTTTGTTTGGAGCGTGGTGTTTGGATGATAATTTTGGCTGGCTTAAGAGTTTCAATGCTGGTAATTTTCTCAAATCACTTACAGGCCCTTAGAAGAGAGAAAGGTCACCATTAAAAATAATTTAGTTGTTTATCAACCATACGTTTGTCGCCGGTGCCGAGCAATTCCCTGAGATAACTTGGCAAAGACGCAACGACATAAAAATATAATTCGCTTTATCCATTGTAAAACAGCTGTTGTTTTTCTGATATAAAAATCGAAGCGACCCACGTTAGTCTAGACATTTCCATAACTCACTGTCAAGTCATGAAAATAAATTGTATTATTTATTTACGTTCGTTCATTGCTTATATTCAGTGATTTGCTTGTGTGAAATCAAAAGGAACTTTTATTAAAGTTCTTATAATCATTTTCAACTCGTCTTGAAAGGCATAGGGAATTTCAACATGTAATTTTTTTTTCTTCCCGCAGGGGGATATCCGTTCCATATGTTTTTAGAAATGTTTTTTCGCGTCTCTATAGGTTAAGAGTGCGAATTTATTCTGCTTTTACATATGCAAAATTTTTTTTTATGTTTTCCCGCTTTTGTGGGGAGATAAGCGCTTAATTTCTTAGTAATTTGACCTGTAAAAGCTATTTTCTCTGTAAATCCTCCTGAAACACAATTACCGCACGGAGGGATTTCTACGAGGAAAAAAACAAAGCTTCGAGGAAATAAAGCAAAGATTTTTTGTTCATAAGAGATTTATTTTCAAGAAACAACGTTAGCAGTCCATAAATCTAAAATATCTCAGTATAATCTGCATCATTGCTAATGAGATTATTTAAGTCTATTTCCAGAGATGACATGTCTTGCTCTTACAAAAGAAATATTTCCTCCGGTCGGCAGAACGTGTATGAATTAGCACTTACCGTAACGTTTCGCTAACCAATTCGACGTAGTGAGCGAAAAACCCGTGAAAACATAACGGTTTTTGATATTTTGAAGAGCGACGTTTCTTGATATGTGCTACTCGATGTCGTGGGTTTCGATGTCGGTCGACGAGTGCCTTTTTTCTACATTATCTGCTATGGATCTTAGGTAGTCAACGATATCCTTCGGTTCTTCATCACCTTCGCTTTTGCGCTTGAAACACTTGCGTAAAATTAAATATAACTCCTGTCGAAGCTTTCTGTTCAGGAAAAAATAAACTAAGGAGTCTAACAAAGGGCCAAGAAGTAAGAGAAACGAAACCGTTGTCTCCGTCAGCGAGGAGAAGTATCCTTCGCCGGTAAAGCTGTTCACAATGTTAAAGATCGTGAGCGGTCCTCTTGAAATTAGAAAAGAGCCGATGATTACTGTTAAAGTACAGTTTGCTTTGCAACTTTGGTAAGAGTTAGTTTGAGCGACCGTGGTGAATTCTCCGTTTTGTAAGACTTGTATTTGGATATTTCCTGGGCGAATTTGCCTTGCGCTCTTTCGCGCGGTCTGGAAACTTTTAAAGTACATTAAACAAATTGTGAAGCTAGGAAGGATGAAACTTTCCATTGCTATAAAGTAGTAAAAAATGCGGTATGATCCCTTGAGATCCCATCGGAAAGCACAGCCATTTTTCGCTGGAAAGTACTTGTAGTTTAATCCTTCGAGGCCGAAGAGGGGGAAAGCGGCCCAAAATGCCGAATGAAACCAGTTGAAAAGCGAGGCAAAAATGACATGCTTACCAGTGATGTTTCCAGCATGGCTCATTGGGTTGGCTAGCGAGAAGAACCTATCCACTGAAATGACAGATATAAACGTCGCCGACGAAATGGATAGAAAAGTCGTTAAGTAGCCCTCGAACTTGCAAAAACCATCGCTGAAACTCCACTCCTGTTTCGAGAAAGTCACGATCGAAAATGGTATAACAAGCAGTGTCATTAATAGTTGGGTCGAAGTCAACCCAACGAGAAATAAATTGCTAACCGTTCGCAAGTAGTTTCTTGGTAGGATAATGCATAGAACTGTCAGATTTGTGAACGCGGCTACCACGTCCAAAATTGAAAATAAAACCACAGCTACTACTGTCATGGTTCGTTCAAATAACGCTATGACGATGATTGGGGAATCTACGTAGTTATGAAGGTTGCGGAATTCTCCGCAAAGTTCACCCTTCGTTTCTTGCTTTCACTGGGGTCCTTTGCCGCTCGTCTTCTACCAATTGAAGGTTTTAGAATTGAGATCACTCTGAAGACTGTATGGCCCTGAAAAATTAAATCAAAACCGTAACATGCGATTCTCAGTTTAAAGCTCTAAATTTCTTCGTCGTATGAGACAATCCGAGCCAGTTTAGATGAATTCATTAGTGACTTTGCTCATTTTATACTGACCTTCCTTACGCGTGCGCAAAAGGCACTTCAACCGCCTTTGTTGAAACTAACAATCAAAATGGTGTTCTTTCATTGGAAGCCACTTTCACTCACGTAAAACTGCAATGAATTGCAAATATATTTACTCAAAGTTTTAAAAATATAATTTCGAACAATATCGCTTTGTTTGCAGATCTATCTTAAGACTTGTCAAAAACGACTTTCTCTTTTTGCAAATTCGCTGGTGGAGGAGATAACATACAAAGATTGTCGAAGAATATTAACAAAATTGAATTCATTTCCGGGGAGGAAAAAAAATTAAACGAACAATAACGCGATCTTCTGGTTAGTTTGATTTTACAAAACAAGCCCATATCGCTCGACAAAACATATTTTCAGCAAGTTTCATTAGAGAATTCGTATCGCTTTGGATTTTTAAAAAATATTGAGATTTTACCACTTTGAAAAATAATTTTGATCATGGCCAACGTTAAACGAGAAGAATATTTCTGCGAAAATTGGTAGAAGCGAACAGATACATTTTTGTTGTCGTATCGGACCAGTTTTGAAACGTTTTTGTTGTATTCAAGAGTCTCACTTTTGCTAATTCTAACTAGAAATTGGAAATTTATTTTTTAAGTTGACAGA